TACGGCTACCGTTCATAACAACGGTGACGTGTATGATCAAGTGAGTCGACGACTCCACCCAATCGTTTGTGTCTGGACAGACTCCAACACAGCCGGTCATCCTGGGAAGGGTGCCCCGGCCTGTCTGTACAAAGAGAAAAGAAACGTAAAGCATTGCTTTACGACCAAGCAGCAGACTCAACAAACTATCACAACTCCTATACTCACCTTACTGATAGACTTGAAGGGTAGGACTTGAAGTCGAGGGGTGTAAGTAGAGAGAGATGCAGATACTAAGAATCAACGAAGTTGTTGAGTCTGAGTTCTTAAGCCTCAGACGATGCCCCTTATATACAAGTAATCTAAGACCCCTGACACTACGTAGGACCTATGGTACTCTACATTACTAAGTGCTCATGTGACTACTCGTGACTCGTTACTAATACACTACCATTATGTTTAGTAATACGAGGAATAATGACCGTTGGAGTATCTCCATTAGGCTAAGCTATCCACCAGGTGACATCACTCATGTTGTCATGACATGTGACTGGTCTAGAACGAGTTCTGGACTTGTAGTTATCTTATCTACTGATCCCATCATATCTATATGATGATCTAGGTCCCATGTTATGCATGTGACCGTGTTGGTCACGTGATTGTGTTTTAGCGCGATAATGAGCGCTAAGAATATAATAGGCGCTTGTATAGGGCGAATTTGTGACAGACTGGGCACCCCGGTCAATACAAGACACATGAGATGGTCACACGTAACTACTGGTGGCCCCAAATTCGAAAAGACATCAGGAAGTACATGGCCAGATGCGAGAAATGCCAGAAGACCAAGGTTCATACGACGCGTCCTACCGGACTTCTATTCCCAAACGAAATTCCTTCACGACCCTGGGAAGTAATCTCCGTTGACAAGATAGACGTATTGCCGGACTCCTTTGGATACAATGCTATTCTTGTAATCGTCTGTATGTACTCTAAGCAGATAATCACGATACTAAGTACCATCGAGCTCAACGCCGAGGGATGGGCAAAGGCACTCCGAGATAACATAGTCGCACATCATGGAATACCCCAAAAGATCATCAGTGATAGGGGAACTGAATTTAAGAATCAGTTCATCTCCGAGTTGTACCGATCCCTCGGAATTGAAGCCAATCCTTCGACCGCGTATCACCCCCAGACAGACGGACAAACGGAACGCATCAATCGCGAAGTAGAACAATATCTTCGATTGTTCATCAACTATTGACAAGCAGATTGGGCTGAATGGTTGCCACTTGCGGCCTTTTCGTATAACAATAAAGTCCATTCTTCCACCGGATATACTCCATTCTTCATTAATAAAGGGTACCACCCTTATGAAGGAACCCAACCGGTGCGAGAAGGATTGAGCGAAAACGCCCAACAGTTTGTCGACAGAATGAAGCGGGTACGAGAAGATACTAGCACAGCTATCAGTCTAGCACAGGAAACCATGAAGCGCTTCTACGACAGGAAGAGGAAGAACGGACTGGAATACAAAGCAGGGGATAAAGTTTGGCTAGAAGGGGTAAACATCCGAACGGACAGGCCAATGAAGAAGCTCAACGATCAGCGATACGGACCCTTTAAGGTCAAATGCAAAGTCGGTGCCTCTGCCTACGAATTGGAACTCCCCCGCCAATGAAAACAACACCCCGTGTTCAACGAGAGCCTTCTTAGTCCCTTCAAAGAACCCGTATACCCTTCGCAACGACGTGAACCAATAGTCCCTGACCTTGTAAATGGCGAGGAAGAATGGGAAGTCGAAGATATCCTCGACTCTCACCGTGATCGAAATGGGAATCTTGATTATCAGGTTCTCTGGAAGAATAGCCCCCACGGTGATCGCCGTTCCTGGGAATCACGAGCGAACTTGACCAATTGTCAAGAACTCCTTCAAGAATTCCATGCGAGACGTCCTGATAAGCCCGCGCCTATGACAATTAGAATCCCCCCTCTATTAACACGACCCGTCCACATGCTCATGCGCAACACCACTCTTTTGGTACAACGGATGGGTGGGATTCTCCCGAAACAGGGATCTGAAGAATCTGCTGGGCTTGACCTTTACTTGGCCGAAAGCGTTAAGATACCGGCACGAGACCGCAAGGTTGTCAGCACCGGCATAGCAATGCGTGCCCTTCACGGGACTTATGCACGAATTGCACCACAAAGTGGGTTAGCGGTTAAAGGGATAGATGTCGGCGCTGGAGTCATAAACCGAGATTACACCGGAGAAGTACGCATAGTGTTGATCAACTCCACCAATCAACCCTTCCAGGTACATGCCGGCGATCGAATCGCACAGGTCATTTTGGAGCATATTGCGTCATGCGATATCGAGGAGGTGCCGAGTTTAACAGACACTCAACGAGGGTCGGGCGGTTTTGGATCGACTGGAAAATAATCGTGAGGACACGATTCTAGATGGGGAGGTAATGTCATGAATATTACATAGTCTGGATGGTTCTCCCAGATTCCATAGTATTCTTTCACTTTCTATACACCTCTGTATACTCGTAGGATATTCTAGATATTCAGTCTGACATGTATATAAGGAGCTCGTACTGCTCAATAACAAGCCAGACTCGAGCTGGTCTTTCCTCACTCACAATTCCTCTTGTCTGTCTCCTCAGCGTTGTCGTAGCTCAGTCCAGTTGGATTGTTAGTTGCTGACACGCGTCATCTGATATTCTTATCTCAACCTCGTCGGTACGGCTTTCAACTGGTGACAACGCGGTCCCCAGTCGATTTTCAGAGCTCAGAAAGAGCAGAAGCCTTCGGTCATGAATCTGAAATGTATCCTAGCTCATCTTTAGGGATTGTGAAGCAACGAGCCTAGCCCCGGGTGCCAGACGGCAAATGTTTAAGGCGCGACATAAGGATCGGGGCGCCTCGGGCGCCGTCGGCCCACGGGAGGCGCATCAGATGGCCAATGCCGCTAAATTGGGAAGTACGCGCATCTTCCCACGAGACCACGGTCGGGGGCCATTCTCGCAACTTCGAGCTGAGGTTAAGCGCAGCCGCTTCGGCCATGTAGACGTAGTTCAACCTATTATTACAAATCATAGGTGTGCTCTTGTAAAGCGACGCAAGCTTCCTGTGCTCATCTACTTCTACCGACGATGTAAAACTCACGCCACGGAATGGTGTATGTGCACAACATCTTGAACATCGGTTCGACAAGGATAAGCAGTACGTTACGGTCGTGTAAAGGTATGCGCAACATCTTGTGGACACATTATCATTGCGACAGGGGCCTGAGGTGCGACTAGAATCCACGTAGAGCCTGCGGCACGACTCGCTAGAGTGGTATTATAGACGGCATGACAAGCACTTTGTTCAACTCTGTTCATAGCCGCCATGGGATATATGTTAACGTTTGCCAATCTGTGGGGTTGTGCGAGCTCACTGCATGTTAAGATGTTAACACATCGCTCATTTTTTCAGCTGAGAACTTGTCTAGTCTCGAAGAACAAATCAGTCTTAGGCTTGCCGGCTGTCAATGCTACCGAGATGATCATGTGAAACTCACCGCAGAGCCTGTAGCCACCGCAGAATGCCTCCAGTCAACTTATCCTGTGAATGGACTCAGCCATCGAGACCTCTACGCAAGGTTTACAGCGGGTTTTATGCGCCGGATATCTAGTCTTCTTTTTGTTTGTCGACGTTGCTTCTTTGATCCCCCAGCATTCACAGGTATAATAGTCCACTGCATCGCAATTGCTCACGGTTGGCAATCCTTTACCCCATTCCAGACCAGGAGCTTGCCCCTGCACTTGGAGCTAGTGTCCTGCGAGGGCCGTCATAGAGCTATCGAGGTAAGCCATCGAACAATTAATTCCTCTGGGATTTACTGATGTCAATGCATTCAACGACGATACAGCCATGGCGTACTGCCATCGATGCGAGCGGTACTTCAAGAATGAAGCCGCCCTCGAGCAGCACAAGGCCGATTCTTCAAGTCATTGGATGTGTTACGACTGCGACCGCGACTTCGGATCGTACGATGCTCGCAGGCAGCACTACAAGAACAGCTCCCTCCATCATTACTGTGCGATGTGCAACGAGGATTTCGAGGACGACAACGGTCTGGAGGACCACTATGACAACTATCATTTCTATTGCAGGGAGTGCGAAGAAGTAGGTACCCCCCTGGTCATTCGCCGCCCCATTTACTCACGCCTGATACTCTTAGTTCTTCGATTCCTTGGAAGAGGAAGACGATCACAAGGAAAAAGAGCATTGGTTCTGCAAGGAGTGCCGCAGGATGTTCAACACGAAGAATGGCCTCATACATCACAGGCGCACGCACCTGTCCAAGAATTTACGCTGCCCAGGTAACAAATGCGGTCGTACCTTCGCGCTCCCCGCCGATCTTATCCTTCACTTTGAGTCGGGTACGTGCCGCTCTGGCGTGACACGGCGCGCCGTCGACGAGGCGGTGATCAGGTATGACAGCGGCCGCGTAATCACGGACCCGTCACGCCTGCTCCTAGGCCCCGACGGCGAATACACAAAGCTGCCTGACCCGGTGCGATGGGCGACGCGCCAGTCGTGGAACGGCAGCGCATTCGAGTGTGTGCTCTGCCATCGCACGTTCTGCCTCCTCCCGCGCTTGAACCAACATCTCCAGAGTCCCGCGCACGCGGACACGATTTACCGATGCCCTGCCCTTTTCGATGGGTGTGGGTCGCACTTTGGCACGCTTAGCGCGCTTGTGCAGCATGTCGAGATCGCGAATTGTGGGGTGCGCAGGTTCAAGAACCATGTCGGGGACGTTATGGACGATCTTAGTCGTAATTTACGTGGTTTGGGGATCTGAGGCCATTTTCTGTGCTGGATTATGTATTTTTACTGAGTGGGTCACTGTCTCTAATTCTAGTCTTAAACAATTGCACCTTTGATCTACTGAGCTTAAATATTTTAGTGCTTAAACCTACGCCACACCGCTTGTTGAGCCTCCACGCCAGCGTCCGCCGAGTCACTTTATGCGTCTAGGATACTACTGAGCGCCAGGCTACTGTGTGGTGTACAGATGTGGAATATTGTCGACGTGGGGCTTCAGCTAACAGCAGCTCCAGCCGAAGCGCCATGGCTACCAAAATGGGAAGGGCGCATCATAAAATCACGTGACTGGTGACGATATTTGTCCGACTCCGCGGGGACTCAGCAGCCTCGTCCATACGTTGATTGATTCCCTTTTCGGCACGCTAGATTGCTCCAATGGACGGATATGTTTTCGTGACAAGATCCAAGCAGGCGTCCAGTTGAACTGCAGCTCAGGCTGCGACACGGTTGAGCGTGAGCTTCTGTTCGCACGTTCAGCTATCCACTGATGCCTAGCGCCATGATATAAGCTCAAAGCCGAATCATCCCTCACCACGTAGCGTTCTTCTTCCTCTCACTAGCATGCTCTCTTGGTTTGGTGTTATCGTCAATTGGGCTCAGTACCTACTCAATGGATCCGACACGCAGTGTGCAGGTGAGTTTATAAAAGCATTTTTACCTCCACCGTTGCTCAACAATACGCTCTGATCAGACTCAGACTGTACAGCCTTCTCCCCGCCCCAATTAGTCGATCCGACACATCAATGCGCGGCATGCAACATAAACTTCGTATCCGCTCAGGCGTTGGCCAACCAGCGGACAAGCTTCCCAGTGCACTATACGTGCTTACAGTGCAATCGAGAGTTTGTCTCGCTCGAGGCCCGCAAAGCTCATTATACTCAAAGTTCCCATCATCATTACTGTGAAATATGCGATGAGGACTTCGAGAGCGAAGTGAAACTGGACCTGCACTTAGAAATCTTTCACCTCTACTGTCGAGTATGCGACGTCGTAAGTGCTCATATCCTCCACACTCCGGCCGCGTGTCTCTTCAATGTGCACACAGTTCTTCCCTTCTCAAAACGACAAAGACGAGAATCATGCGTTCAACTCTCACCACTACTGTCCCTCTTGCCCGCGTGGCTTCAAGACGGAGAACGACCTCGTCCATCATGTACGAACCCACCTTCCCAAAGCCCTTCCCTGTCCTGGCAAGAAATGCAATCGTTCGTTCGCTCTCCCTGCGGACCTGATTCGTCACATGGAGTCTGGTGGATGTCGATCCCGTGTGACGCGGCACGACATCGATAAAGCAGTCATCGCATACGACCGCGCGCGCGTTATCACCGACGTGTCACACTTGCTCCTGGGCTCGGACGGCGAGTACACCACGCCCTCTGCCGCCCATGTCTGGGCGACAAATGACTCGTGGAACGGGTCCGCGTTTGAGTGCGTCGTCTGTCACAAGACGTTCCAGCGGCTCGCGCACCTGAACGACCACCTCCAGAGCCCCGCGCATGCCGACGAAATTTACAAGTGCCCGGCTGCCTATGGAGGCTGCGCCGCTCAGTTCGGAACTCTCAGTGCGTTGGTGCAACACGTTGAGATTGCGACCTGTGGCATCTCGAAATTCCAGGGGCAGGTCCATACCGTCATGGACAAGATCACGAGAGGAACGCGCGGCCTTGGGTTCTAGAGGGTCTCTCGCTGATATTTAATTGACATGGTGTTGTCCTACTTCTCGGAATCAGGTGCGCGCATGATCCTTGAACTCCTTTCATGGCATCCTGTCGAAGTTCATGCGCTGCGTTGCGCAGTTGCAGGGGTACAGGCTCTAGTTCTGACGAGATTTGTGTACTCGAGATGTTGTCCTGGATATATCACTGCAATTTTTTTTGAATAGCGCGAAAGCGGAGTTTATGTATGTAGTCTGAAACTGTGCTGCACTTCATGTTGAGCTATGGCTGTCGTGCTTGTTATGCGAAGACGGAGGCAGACTCACATTCGTTAACTGGATTGCTTTTTTAATCGCAACGTGGCCGAGCTTCTGTTGACCCGCCGAACTTTTTTCTGATCCTTCGAGGACATATATAAGCTTGAAAGCGAACCAAACGTCGCCGGGTCACCTCCCTGTCCTTTCACCGCGATACTCGCTTGACTCTCTGGTAGAGCCCATCGAGTGTGGTGTACGCCCTGAGAACTCGATTACATTCGGCAAGTAAGTTATCCTTTAAACTCCTTGCCAAGGTCTCGTTGGCCTTCGACGCTGAGGACGCTTTGTCTGCACAGGCCCCCTGACCGTCGCCATGCGCCACTGCAACAAGTGCAATAGAGACTTTGTGTCTGCTCGAGCGTTGGCTGCTCACAAGGCAAATTCTCCGGTGCATTACATGTGCCTGCAATGCAAACGAGAATTTGTCTCGCCTGAAGCCCGCAAAGCTCACTACCTTGAGAATGAATCCCACCATTATTGTGACATCTGCGACCAGGAGTTCAGGAGCGTGATGGGACTGGAGCTGCACTTGGAAGACCTCCACCTTTATTGTAGAGTCTGTGGCGTTGTAAGAATTTTAATCTGTGATCCGTCTCCACATCTCATGAATCCATGTTCTGCATGTGCAGTTCTTCCTTTCTCAAGCGGAGAAAGACGAACTTCATGCGGCACGGCCTCATTTCTACTGCGGCTCATGCCCGCGTGGCTTCAAGACAGAAAATAACCTTGTACATCACATGCGGACCCACCTTCCCAAGGGCATCCATTGCCCCGGCAAGAAGTGTAGTCGCTCATTTGCGCTGCCCGCTGACCTTGTGCACCACATGGAATCTGGTGGATGTCGATCCCGTGTCACGCGGCACGAAGTCAACAGGGCCGTCATTGCGTACGACCGTGTCTGCGTCATCACCGACGCATCACGTTTGCTCCTGGGCCCCGACGGCTCGTACGCAAAGCCAGCCGATGTTCAGGAGTGGGCGACAGAAGAATCCTGGAATGGATCAGCATTCGAATGCGTCTTCTGTCATAAGACGTTCTGGCAGCTTGCGCACCTGAACAACCACCTCCAGAGCCCCGCACACGCTGACAAGATATACAAATGCCCCGCTGTCTATGGAGGCTGCGCTGCCCAGTTCGGAACTCTCAGCGCGTTAGTGCAACATGCTGAGATTGCGACCTGTGGCATCTCGAGGTTCCAGGGGCAGGTCCACACCGTCGTGGATGAGATCACGAGGGGGATGCGCAGCCTAGGGCTCTGAGCAGGTCCGCCACCAACAAAATTGCGTGGTACGATCTCGTCCGATGTTCCTTTTTTGTGACACGCGTATACTTATATTGTTCGAATATGTCTTCTTGCTGTCTTGAAACCTTTACTTTGATGTTATTGGTCGAGAATGGGAAGGCGTCCAGCGGACAAGAACTTGGAAACTGCAGAGCCTGCGGTCAAGCAAATACCGTTTGAAGCCAATATAAGAGCCGACCTTGTCGAGAGTCTAAATTGTATCTTGTGATGCACTGGAAATACAGCCGGTTAACCTCTTCAATTGTTCTCGGTCCTACTAAAAATACTCAAGTACGCTGCTGACCATGACTCGGCGGCAGCCTGCCGGTCCAATTGAGCGCTAAATCAGCGGAAGACGAATTGTTCAGGATATCGCGCCTTTCGTCTTCGACCCCCTCCCCACCCTATTTATCGTTGTCTTCTGACACCGTGTCTGGCTATTTCTGTGAGAGATTTCTAAACGTAACATCTGCTGCAACTCGTAATACTATTTAAAGTGAGTCAAGTCGCGCTTTTAGCCCCGTTCTGCGTCGCGTATCGGCAAGAATTGAGAGGGGTGAGGGGTGAGGAGCTGGACAGCGCATGGCATACACAGCAGTGAAACTCAAACATGATTGCATGCGGCACGTCGAACCTGAAAGCCGAACTTGTGGAACTGAATGGCACTATCTGCAGCACTTGCGATGCCTGAAGGCCCAGGCAGGCAACCGACCATATTCTTCCAGGAGCTGCACGAGAAACACAAGAACTACGCGAAGAAGGAAGAACTCGAAAGCCCTCAACGCGTCCGCGCAGTTGAATATGGCACCGCCGCCATCCTCGCCCGCCTTGAATTGGCCAATCCCAACTACCCTTCCCCGCTCAAGATAGTTCGAAGCATGGCCGAATTACGCAACATCGCCGATAATGTTGCCGCGCGCATCATGTTTGGTATGAAAGATGAGGACGAGCCGGGGAGGGAGAACTATGCGGAACGGCTTTGGCAGTGGTGTAAAGATTGTGCCCTCCCGTCGGGCAAGTTCGAACCTGACCTGTACAGTGAGTAATATGGCCACTGTCTCCGAATATGCTGTTTATTATTCGATTTTTAGTTTGCTCCCAGTCCTACGTAGCTTTTGCTGGTGCCCTTGCAACTACATGTGAAGCTGTCGACGCGGTCGCTGCCGCGCATACAGCCCCGTCAGGCTCGGACAGCACACGCGCATTCGTCGCCGTTCGGCCCCCGGGACACCATAGCAGACCTGTATGTCTATTCTACTTTGTGTTGGCTGGGCTGATGATGTTCACAGGACAATCCTGCGGGAATGGGCTTCCTAAACTACGTCGTTCTAGGCGCAATTCATGGTGTGACCCAACGCGATTCCTCTGTCATCAGGGGCTGAAAATACTTGGCTACAGCTTATACCGCACACGGATATTCGCATATAATCATTTTAGACATTGATCTTCATCACGGTATGCCTCTACAAGCCGTTCTGTAGCCGACACTACTGATAGCGTCTTAGGTGACGGCACCCAAACAATGGTCCAACAGATTAATGACAGCGTTCACCGCGCACAAGACGGCCAGTCCGGTCCCATAGTGTACTTCGGCAGCATGCACGATGTCAACGTCTACCCTTGCAGGGTACGCAGCCCTGACTCTTTTACTAATTTTTTTCACCCGAACGCTAAACCGGGTCCTTCTTCCCTTTAGGATGCCTCAAAAGATATGCCGGATGCACGGCTGTCATCGCACGGAGAGGGCGGCCAGTGGATTAAAAATGTCATTATGGAACCGCACGCGACAGAGGCCGATTTCTGGACGGCATACGAGACCAGATACAAGACCCTCCTCACGGATGCGACCGCATTCCTGCAGCAGACAAGTGCGTCTTCCAATAAGGTCATCGTCTTTATCAGGTAAGACACCTCTCGATCTTGTGCATAGCCGTGTTACTTACCTGCTATTACCAGCTGCGGCTTCAGCGCGTCCCAGTACGAATATGGTGGCGTCGCGGGCAACTGTCGCGTTCCACCCGCGTTCTTCTACCGTTTCACGCGCGACGCGTGCGCACTCGCAGACACACACGCCCAGGGACGGCTCGTGAGCATCCTCGAGGGCGGATACAGCGACCGCGCCCTGCTGAGTGGTACAATGGCGCACGTGGCCGGCTTGATTGACGACGAGCCAAAGATCGAATCGGCGTGGTGGAACGAGCCGAATTTAATCGAGGCGAGTGCATGCGTTCTGGTCTGTGTGCTGGCACTGATCGCGACCGCTGCAGCTCGAGAAGGTCGCCGTACGCAAGAAAGGGCGGCGACACTACCTTGACAAACTCCCGACGTGGGTTCAACGCGCGCATCAGGTCGTGCAACATCTGCACGCACCGCTACCCGAGCAGCTGCCCGAATCTTCGGTGCTTAATCTCCCGCCGTTCGTGCCCTACCCTCCACCGCCGCCAAAACAGACAGCGCAGTCGCGTTGGGGACTGTTCCCGGCATCTACTTCGGCCTCTGCTCCAGTCGCATCAGGCTCAACTGCGCCACTATCTCCTAGTTCGGTAACGTCGTCAGGTGAACCACGCGTGAGCGATCGCCTTGAGGAGAAGCGCAAGTACCTCGCGAGTCTTCGGCTGTGGTTACCTGGTGGCGACAGCGACGAGGAAGGCGAAGACGAAGACGAGGTGGACGAGATGGACGAGTCGCATAAAGAAACGGACGACCTTCCAGTGATCCGTGGACGTGGACGTGGACGCCCACGCGGTCGTGGAAGTAGGGGAGGGCGTGGCCGTGGTGTGAGGGGTGGGCCCGGTAGTCGCGGCGGGCGGGGCAGTCGTGGTGGGCGTGGAAGTCGTGGTGGACGAGGGAGAGGCCGCGGACGCGGAGGCGGAGGTGTGCACACTGAAGCGATCGTTCACAGCCCAGAAGAGGAAGACTCGGGATCCCCAACACCCCTCTCAGCTGAGCGAGTCGGCCCTGCAATTACAGCGGGTCCGTTGGCAAATGTGTCGCCGGAGGCGGGGCCATCCAACGGAAAGCGTCCACCTGAACCGGCTAGCGCACCGGCGGACGAGCAGCACAAGCGGCTGCGCCAAGACTCGACGCAATCTGACGCAACTGCGGTACAGGGCGCAGGCCCTGTTTCTGCGGTGGCAGCATTGCGACGCTCGCTTGACGATTTTGCAGGGCGCGTCGATACCCATGCGGACACGCTTCCTGCAGAACTTGTGCGTGCGGTACGCGGCGCGCGTGGGTGCGTCGCGAAGCTTGAACGGTTCGCAGACGACGTGCGCCTAGTGGACGAGACCGTCGACCTGCTACGGGAGCTGTCCGATGCTGCGTTCGTTGCATGTGGCACTATTGAGGATAAACAGCTCGCGAAGGGCCTGCGTTTTGGCCTTGTTGACTTGGAGGGTGCAGTAGAGGAGTTCCGGAGGAACGGGAAGTGAATGGCTTTTTGAGGGACAAATGTTTATTTTCGTGGAACTGGAATGTCATTTTGACGAGTGGAATTTGTTGTACAAATAGGGGTATCTTGAGCTTGAGCTTGCGTATCCATTTTGTAATAGTCTTTTTGCTAGTTTGTACTTCATAATAATCCAGCTCGGCGCAGCCTCGGAAAAGCAGGGTGCCGGATGATGCGCCTTTCCTAAACAGGATCGCCACATTTCGCGCTGCATGCGTGCATCGCGCTTTCACCTTCACGTACACATTCCCTGCAACGCTCGCTGTACCACTCCGATCGTCGCCGGTACGAACCCTTACACTGGTTATCTCTCGCTTATCACTATCCAGGACCTGCGGCTTGCCGATGATGAAAAGATGCGCCGAGCTCCCTCTCGAACTTTGGGATGTGGTAATAGACCTCAACGTCGTCACATACTTTGACGAACTCTGGACACGGGTACTGGATGTCAGAAGGCCAGGACAGGAGTCTCCCTCTTCAGTGAGTTGCAGTCAAGTTCTGCTCTGTACACTAGCTCAAGATAAAAGCGTAGTTGAACCCTGTGAAGAGCCTCCTCCGCGTGTCGTTCAGGTTCCGGCATGAAACATTGAAAATACTTTCCGAGGTTCTTGGGATTCCATACAAGAACGCAGGAGTGGGACAGTCTGTGTGTTCTACCGACGCCGAGGTTGTTGAAACTGACCTCCGTTTCTAGTCTCGACGGCGATCCTCGCGAGCCAATTGACGCTGTCCAGCGGTTGTGGTACCCTATAGACCTCGAGAAGCAGAACCACGAAGTCGAAAAGCTAGCCGAGCGTTCTGAGGCGCTCGGAGTGTATGCACATCTGGTGGCTACCATGCAGCAGTCTTGCAGCTTGCTAGCCTTGACCGTGGAAGCACGCAATGACAACGGAAGCATCTGCCCGGAAGCCGCGCTTGAACGCCAACCAGCTGCCGAGACACTGCGTGCCAGTGCCCGTGACCATTACATTCCCGCCGTCTATGCAGTCATGGCTCCTGGTGTCAAGCGCAGGCCATTTCCGCGGAGACGCATTGTGCTGTTGGTGATGCATTTTGCTCTCTGTACGTTCATATCGTATATCCAGCAGCTCCCCACAATTAATAACTTGTACCAGCCATAGCTGGTGCAGCCCGTACGCTGCACTGGTATAATGTTGAGTGCCTTCAATTGGCTTCTGTCAAGGATGTCGCACCTGAGGATGTCCCATACACGACACACCCTGGGCGGTATGAGGTAAGATAGTCACCCTGGAAAGAACATCTGCCTCTGATACAGGCCTCTAGCATGCTGTCGACGTCGTGTGCAAGTCTATGCGTAAAGTTCCGCAGCTGTATCGCGACGTGCGAGATATCTACTGTCCAGGTCAGCTGCTAGAAACCCTCGATCTGCTCATCGGCCAACACAATGTGGGAAACTTTTGTCCTTGCTCCGTATTGTGTTTTAACCCCGTCGTCTATTCAGCTTGCCATGGCCTCTCGGATGTTCGCCAACGCAATGACAAGCCTGCCAGGCCCTACCGATATATACGAACACACGAGAGCCCGCTCCAAGGAATGCAAAGAGTTAGTAGATGCTCTGCTGATGGCACAGTCAAGCTAGATGTGATATACATCAGTCGAACCCATGCTGAATTATGGGCGCAATGCAGTACATGCGATACAGCTGGAATGTACAGCGAGACTGTATCAGGTGGAAATGCAGATTGTTCGATGTGTCGTGGTTGGAAGATATCAAACCTAATCGAAGAGTCAAGACGGCCAGAAGATGGGCCATATCAAGTTGTCGCAGACAAGGTGTGCTTCTCCTTTCCGGAATCTCTCACGAGATCCTCACGCAAAGTTAGAGAATCCGCGGCCGCCGACTGAGCTCGCGCCCTACCCCACGACCACACCCCCCGCTCTGGGCAGAACATACGCCTCTCGGCCTTCAAATCATCCCCAGAGAAGACCCTGAACAACATGCGTGTCTGCAGCGAGCGTCCTGAACGTAGTGAACCGCGGCCGGTGGCAATCGATGAGTAACATCACACAGCGTGCGCAAGTCGCCTCATCGTTGTCGCATGGTGTGTTCATATAAAGGGCGTGTGACTGAGCACGTTCAGGGTAAACCCTCCTCTAGATCGTGACCACTCACTATGCCATCCGTCGAACCAAAACGCGAGTACGTTAGCGATTTAAAGGTGCAGCGTTGAAGTGAGGGAAGACATCGAAGCGTTACTTACGAATTGTGTTACAGGTCAAGTATGGAGATTCGCCGGCTGAGGCTCCACCAAACGCCTTGCGGGAATTGACAGGCTTGAGTAACGATGTGAACCAACGATATGGTGGAAAGTCCGTACTATCCTCGTCCCGCTATGCCGTGACTAGTACTCATCCAAACAATCGACAGGCATGTCTGGCTTGTCCCCAGCTATACTACCGACCCCGCAGCCGCAGCAACGTCCTTTCACGTCGTCGTCCAACATAGCCCATCCGGAGGCATGGACGATATTGCCAAGGGAATCGGCGGCGGATACAGATATGTTTTCACTAAGTCCGATCCGGACGAGCTGCGCAAGATCACGTATGCCGTGTTGCTGCGATCTTCTTGGAAAGTCGCCACTCCTCCAAGCGGATGGGACAATATCAGCGAAGATCTGAATAAGGGCCGACGCGGAACATACTTGTATATCTTGCTGAAAATGACTGAGAGTGAAGTCGCTAGGTGTGTTAAATACTAACACTTGTCTCGCCTCTGGTCTTATCTGGCAGCGGTTCTCCGCAGCAGCAACTCTCGTCTGTCGTTGACTGTGCCGAGTGTTGCCGGATACTTGTCTGTACGAAGCAGTCCAGCGCGGAAGGAGTATATTCAGCGACTGGAAGTGGCTTACGGCGATAACGAAAAGGAAGTTCCTCCCGATTGCATTCGAGAGATCAGCGGGCTTAGTCCGAACCTCGACTTAAATGGCGGCAGCAAGTCAGTGTACCTTTCCAAGCCGTTAGTTCTGATACTTACGATATTTGCGGTCTAGATGTGTCTGGCTCGTTCCAGTGTATACAACAGACATCACCAAAGCAGCCACTTCATTCGACATGCTCGTCCAAGCCTTTGAGGACCCAAAGTTTAACGACCTCGCGCGACGTACCGGCGGCGAATTCCGCTATATCGTCCCTCGTGCGGACCGCAAGCAGTCAGAGAAAATCGTCGAGGTCGGCTTCGCACGGTCTGATGCACCACTCGAGAGGCCTCCAACTGGTTGGCAGGGCTACTGTGTTAATGATGTTAATAAAGGGCGCAGGAAAAGATGCGTGTATATCGCCTGGAAGACGGTATCGACAAATTCCTGGTGCGCGTTTCGCCATCGACCCGGGAACATATGCTGAAAGACCCGCTTCTAGGTCGTTCGTTTCGCTTTCAGGATCCATCAGCCCATTCAGATTGGGCAATACTACGAGCAAATACATCAAAACGCTAACAGTAAGCATGCACCTTAGCCGCGAGAACTCGGAGCTAAGTCAAATACTTGCCAGGTATGCTACGGAGAATCCTTCGACGACATGCCAGAGGGGGCCGTCTACGAGTATAACGGCCAGAGCGCCGACCTGAACCACCAGTTCGGTGGCAAGTAAGCTCGATATATTTGTCCCGTCCTTTCCTCGAGCTGACTGCGCGCCCAGATTCGTCTGGCTTGCGCCCGAATACACAACCGACCCGGACGCCGCGGCGACATCTTTTACGGTCACCGTATCACGCATCGCGGACCTTGCTCTCGCAGACATAGCCAAGGGCACTCTGTGCGGACGCTTTCGCTACATCGTACCCATGTACGATGCCCGAGCCAAGGGGCGCGTCGCCGAGATACAGCTCTTCCGTGCGGAGCGACCGCTGAGCAAACCACCCTCGGGCTGGCAAGGCATGAGCACTGACATTAATGAAGGTAGGGGAAGGACTGCGTTATATCTCATCTGGAAGACGTCGGTTTGAAAGCTGTTGCAGGCACTCGACCGGTTAATGCCTCCACTGTAGCACTGGTAAACGACTAATAAACTCTTATTACAATGAGATTGTTGGAGTAACAATCATAAGTGGAAATTTGTTACCTCGGGTAACAGCCGAGCTTATGTCAGCAGATCATTATTGTTTTATTCGAACCTACTGTCTTCCTGCGATGATATAAGTCAGCACGCGAATGTGAGGTTGGTAGCATCGTCTGTTAGAAGGATCGTTTCTTCGTGCTAATTACGAATGCTGAATTTGTATTCTCCATAGGAAGATTGGCACGAAATGACAGAAACCACCGACATACGATCTGAGCGGAGGGCGATTGTCTACACGCAGGATGCGTGCCTGACGCATAGGAACATTGCAATAGGTGATGACAAAAGTAGGCTAGAGCGTCCCGAACGACTCTACGCGGTAAACGTTGGGGTGGGTGCAATCTACGCGCGGCTCGAGGAAGCCGCCGGACATAGTTCTTCTCGCTCGGGACGTGTATCCGAGGACGATGACCATGGCCCATTCACGATTGTGAGAAGCACAGAAACAATACAGGATATCCCAGAGCGTTCCGCGGCTTGTACTGTCCTCCATATCAAGCCCGAGGATGGACCGACGTACGCACAGGTACTAGAAGAGTGGTGCAAGCAGAGCCGACAAAGAATTATGCATCGCGAACGCGAGTTGCTATATGAGTTTGAGGAGGACCTTTACGGTGAGTGCAGTCTGATTTCTAGAGACACCCTGCACTGATGGTGCCGCATAGTTTGCCCAGGATCCTTTGATGCTTTCAAGGCGGCGATGGGCACTGTATGCCAAGCCGTCGACGCAGTTGCTGCTGGATCTGAAATCGCATCGCAAGTGTCGGCGGGGCTTCTGCATGGGACACATGGGACACGAGCTTTTGTAGCTATCCGTCCTCCAGGACATCATTGCATCGCGGTATGTGAACATGGGACAAGACCACCACACTTGCTCACTATGGATATTCTTAGGGCGCTCCTGCCGGTTTAGGATTTGTTAATAATATAATTGTTGGTGCCTTACATGGTATTCATCTATGCTCGGCTCACATGACATGGTGTACTGAGCCAAGCTGTTAGCTTTCTACCAGCATAAATATACCCACATCATCATATTCGACATCGACCTCCATCATGGCATGCTCTTTTTGTTACTGTTCATCAGCGTTGTATATTGCTAAGCTTTTGCATCTTCAGGTAACGGCACTCAGCGAGTTGTCAAGGAGATCAATGCTCAGCGGCCTGCGAATCCTGCTAACGGCAAGGACGAATATCCGACAATGTTCTACGGGAGTATACATGATATCAAATCCTACCCGTGCGCGGTATGTAACATTCACAATCAAATTGGCAATTAAACTCATGGAGAACAGAACGGGGATTCGAATAGGATCTCCGCTTCGTTGGTAGCTCGAGGAGCAGATGGGCAATGGGTTGAGAATATCCATATGCAGCCGTACACCTCGGAAGAAGAGTTCTGGGAACATTATGAGCAGCGATATGTCACGCTCATTGAGCGAGCGTCCGAGTTTGTCGCGAGTACGCAGGCGTCTGTGGAGAAAACGATGGTGTTCATCAGGCTCGTGAATCTCTACATATATTTCGCGACTTACCTTAACGACCGTTAATCACAGCTGCGGCTTCTCTGCGTCAAGACACGAGCATCCCGAGATGTCCCAACACAAATGCTACTTCCCCACAGAGTTCTATCATAGGTTCACACGTGATGCCCGCACATTCGCGGACCACTTCGCGCAGGGCAGGCTCGTGGGCGTATTAGAAGGTGGCTACAGTAATCGTGCTCTTATCAGTGGCGTGATGGCCCATGTGGCGGGGCTCGCAGAGACTGAGCTGACTAATGTGGATCCCAAATGGTGGGATCTGCCCGCATTGGAGGAGGTATGATTTCAACTACCATTTTTCACCGAGCAGCTCTCATAGTTGGCATGTGGCAGGCCGAGAAAGTCCTCAAGAGGCAGCAGAAGCGCAAGGCAAGAAGCGAGAGGCCTCCACTATGGGTCACTCGGACACGACAGATTGTGGGCCTACTCAACGAGCCCCTCGACAGGAACGAAGACTCCCGTGTTCTTGCCATTCCTTCGCGTGATACTAGCGTGAGACCCGCTAATGCGCTTCTCACGCTATCGACGTCGGCGTCGGGGACTGCTGAAAAGCGTCGCCAGGCAAGCGGATCCAACCCGGTCGCGGCGAAGCGACCACGTTCCGGTGCCTCGGAGATGGCTAGCTTGTCGCAGACGCGTGCTCTATCACGAGCACTGTCAGAGCTCACTCCCATTCCCGATACACCCAGGACTAGTGTTGCGTTACTATCCAAAGCCCTGCTGCCGAGTACACCCGGTGCTCCAGGACAGTCGTCTTCAGCTTCTTGTGAGTGGTCTGTTGGCTTAGGGTTTAGATGACACAATGATCGAAAGTTACAGCATCGCAGCCACGGACGTCCTCTTCGATTGTAACCTCTAAATCAGCCGCAGCCTCCGAGGGGGTTGCCAATGCGATTAGCGCTCAGCAAAAGCCAGGCGCAGAACGTCCGCGTACAGCACCGAAACCACCCCCACAAGACAAAGCACAGGAAGTGTACAATGAGCTCAAACGCTCGTTTGACAGCTTTGACAACATTGCTACCTCCACCGCTGCCTTACCTCAAGCATTCCTGCGCGCCATCCGTCCGGTTCGCGGCTGTGTCTGGCGGCTCGAACATATCCTCGCAGACGGGAAGCTAGCATGTGATGCGCTCGAGACACTCGAAGAGTTTTTGTCCGAGGCTCATTCTTCCCTGGAACAGTTCACAGCCGAACCCGGCGACAGACAGATGGCGCGGCGAAAGCTGGACAGAGCTCTGTACGACCTTGAGGGTTCCGCATTGGATCTAAAGAACATGTACATATGATTTCGTCTAGCTCTCTCTTGCTTCGGTGACACTGAAATCTTCCCAATTTACGACTAATTTACGTTAATGTTGTCACCCTCCGCCCCCTCCCGTACTTGCAACGTGAGATATGCTACGCACCAATGACTCTCGATGGGTCAATCTACCCGCGACGTAGTTTGTGAACACATGCGCAAGTGGTCGCAGATGATCCATCACGCCAGAAGTTACTTTCGTAAAGCATGTTGTCAAGCATGGTTTCGGACTCGCTATCAGTGAACTGCTAAGCTATTTCAAATTAGTTGTTACCTAGACCTTATGTGCGTCTTATCTGTTGATGAATGCTCTCTTTTATGGGGTGGGTGCTCTTTCTAATGAGATAACACAACCTTTCAGGTCCGACGCGCGACGTCAGTACTCCGTTCGTCTTTATCTTCTCCTCCGCTGTCCGGCATGATCACCCGGTCCATCCTTGCTTGTGGCCTACGGCAAGCCAATATTCGAAACGTCGCACGTCGGACTTTATCGACAGCCCCACCCCTCCACCAAAAGGCCACGTCGTCGACCTCGCGGGCTCCTCAACCAAAACCCGAACCGAGACGGACATGGTTGGAACAGAGAATTCGGCAATCGCCAACTGCGAAAAAACTCCTTATCAGCATCGCGCCACTTCTTGGCTTCAACTCGCCGAAGCAGGTCGCTGGACGACGGGCGTTCATGATGTACGAGCAGCTATGCGTGCCCAAAGCGGAGGAGGAGAACGCGTTCTGGCAGGATGGTATGTGCGTCTGTCTTAGCGTCGGACTATGACTGTTGTCCAGCGTGATACTCACCGAGAATATCACTCACGTTCTCGTTGAAGTATTCGTCTCTCCAGAACGCTTAAGCGAACGGTCAAAACTGCCGCCTTCCGTTGGCCCATGTTTATGTTTCACGCAAGCACATGCTGACCAACTCGCACAGAATGCAGCCTTCCTCCGACATTCCAATCGTGGTTCTCCATAACAAACCTACATATCTGGCTGCTCACCGTCCGGCTCCGTGCGCTGCCTGACCCAATAGGCAAGTACTACATCCAAGCCCTCGTCGACCACTTCTTCCTCGACGTGGAAGACCGTATTCGCCAGGTTTTGCAGCCTGCTATCCCGCCGAAAAATGCGCCACCAGAACCCGCGCCGCAGAGCACATACACCACGCCAACGAGCTTCTACACTGTCGCGAACGCAGACAAGCAGCCGAAGGGCAAGGCACCCGAGCGACTCGTGACGCGCCAGATGAAAATTCTGAAGGAGCAGTGGACTGGTCTCGGCATGTCCTTCGACCTTGGCCTCATCCGCGGTGACGCAGACATGGCCGCCGCAGTCTGGCGCAACTTCCTTGGCGCGCGTGGCGCGCGCGGTATCGTGTATCCGTCCTCGCCCGAAGCACAGAGCGACAAGCCCTATTTTCGCCGCAGCGTGAACCTTGTCGGTGGCGAGGTGGAAAAGGTCGCCAAGATTGACAAGATTGGGCTCGAAGCCGAGGAGGCGCGCGATGACGGGTCGGGTGTGCATGATTTTGCACCTGATGAAGCCGGAAAGTATGTCCAGTACCCCGAGCTCATGGCCGACATTGTACGCTACGTTCATCGGGAGCTCGTTCGGCTTGAGAGGATCCCCGATGAGCAGATTGTGAAGGGCGGGAAGGAGACGGTACAATTGCTGAGGTTTGGGAAGGTACGCGAGTAACCGCGTCGTGTTCTCTCTCGGACGCAGTAATAGGCTCGTTTGCATGGTTTACTACTCTACATGACAGCTAGGGCTTTGCGACTCGCACTAATCACCACTTGCCTGTACCCGTCTATGTGAAGTTGATATTAGACCGCTCCCGGCCCAATGCCAGATTTTAGCGATAAAAGTCCCTTACAACGACGACCTAGCGACAACACTGTGGCTGTGATGCTTGCTGTTGACATCTTTTTAGGCCCTGATTTAAAGCGAGAATATTTTATCTGCTATAGAGGGTAGCACTGGTACGTTTGTCGTGGCTATCACAGCGCTACCAGCCAGCTAAACGCTCAAAAACTCCTCATCAAGGACAACACAGTGGACACGAAGTGCACATTGAGGTGAAGGTGTACGTATCGCTCTAAATGAATTGACCAGCCCTGGTGCTGAGGTATACAAGACGTCTAGGACATGAATGGTATCATAATGGCGTTTGCCGACCTCGCAGTTGGCCTGTGAGCTCTTTGTGGTGACCCTGGCTCCCCCGGCGGTGCAGAGTTCACGACTTAGCTGGGCTCAGCCCGATAAACTCGCGCAATAGCTGTCTCTTCGCAGCGGTGTCGCCCTTGAACGGCACGCCGTATGACTTCAGCAGGAATTCGTAGCGCTCCTCTGAGATCAGGTATTAGCATCAGACACCGGCGCGAGCTGTAGTGCTTAATGCTTACTCGTCAGATGCTCAAACTCGCCCTTCGTCGCCGGGAAGTTCTGAGGCGTCTTGCCGTTCGCCATCACCAACGGGGTGAGCTGCATCTTGTTCGTGGTGATCGTCGAGTTCAATAAGCGGGCGTACAGGCGAGCTTGGCTGTAATCGCTTCTTCAGCTATTCGCAAGCCTCATGATAAGTCTGCAACATACTCGAGACGGATCGACTCTGCGATGTCCTCTACCTTCTTCTCCACAGCGTGCAGACGCTCCTCGTATGCATCTACCGGAACATCCACCTGCTCGCGCTCCCGTCCCTTCTCAGCCGAGCCTTTCTCGCGCACGCGCAAAAACTCAACTTGCTCTCGAAGCACGTCGAGCTCATCCTTCAGCCGTGCCTGCGCCTGCTCGACGACATCCAGTGCCGCGGTGAACGCAGGGCTTTCGCGTTCGGGATTCGGCATTGCGGAGAGAGCTTGCGACGCGACTGCGAACTGCGCGGCGAGGGCAGTGAGCGACGAGGTAACACTGCCCCGCCACGCCTCGGCGCTCGCAGGCGGCGCAAGGGAATTGTCCGGCGGCGGGTTCGCCAACGCAAGCGTCATGGGCGAGAACATTACGCCCTCAGGCGGCGTCCGGGGTGTGGGCGCATTAGGGTTGAAAGACGCGCTGAACGGCGAGCCTGGCGTCGCTGGGGCACCGTTCGTAAGGGGGTGCGGCGTGTTTGAGCGAACCGGGGGCTTGTCGGGCTCCTCGACGAGCGTGCTTCGTGAATCCTTGAGCTCGAGTGTTGCCTCTCTTCGTGGATCCATCCTCTGTTTTGTCAAGCTCATCTTATGGATAGGGAACAGAATGCCTCGCAGCGAGCATGCACCACGGCATGATATACGGGCATGAAGCGCGTGGACGTCATTCCCAGGGAACACGCATCATGTGAACCCAGCGGAGCCGGGACTTCCGCGGAGCGATTTTGCACGAAAGGAGACTCGCCGGCGAACAGCACTGTACTGCGTTGCCTTGACAGTGTGGGAAGTTACCGACATGTGTCCGGGTCCCCGATGAGAGCGCTTTCCGCATGTGCGCATCTGGACAGGGTGAAGGCGATGCCCGGCTCTGCCTGGGTCGTCTCGTACACTTGGTTTGGAAACACGAACACACGATGGGCATCATTCGCGCGCTGGACCGTGTCGGCCCGTCCGCTATACGGTGCTCCTGTTGTTATCCGCCAGAACCAAGGCCCAGGATACCGCCGATCCAAACCCCAAAAAGCTGCGGCTTGGTATGAAAACATTGCATCACTCTTCGATGAATACTTCATTGACGTCGAATCGTTCAGAATCTACGCTGGAACTTTGTCCGAGGTCATTGATCTACGAGAAGCATGTATCGGGTTACCAGAGCGCACCTACTCAGAATCTTCGTACCATTCACAGCGTCTCGCGCAATTTCGTCCGTCATTCGGCATTTCAAGGGTTCGACAAACCATTTCATGTTGGTTAATCTCACATTCAATTATAATTACAGATTCTCGAAGCACCAGCCCGTACCTAGAAGCGGTGCGCCAAGCGAGGCCAGTCGAGATTGCCGGTAATGCACTGGTTCATCTGGCAGCCACCTCGTAATTTCTCGCGGTCACCGGTAAAGCATAGGTGTGCGAGTGGGTGGTGACATTGACAAGCTGCGCCACTAATACGTGCAGTACAGATTGGTCGTACAGGAAAGCAAATTTCTGGTGACATGGGCGGGCGATCTCGTGAGAGCACTTCAAGCAGCATACGGGAGCATGTGCCGTCCTGTTTTCTCATCCACACTCACTAAGACACCCCATCCAGGACTTCAGGCTCCTCATGGACCCTGTCAATGTCACGGACGAGGCAGACACCATTGGACAGCGGGATACCAATGTCGACGGCCGTCTCCAAAAGTATTCCGCGCACAAATTCGCTCACGCACGAACTGAGGCTGCCAAGAAAGAGGACGAACCCTTCGGCCTGGGCGCTGACGAGCGTGGTTGTAGCCTGAGTACCGCACGACGGCATATGGGCCCCGGCTGATTAGTGATGCTGTAGCGAGTGGATGGTACGAACCAGCCAGTGAGACGTGACAGGTCAACTTGCCCTCTACGATACTAACCAGCCCTAAATTATGCATGGTATGTCGGTTTGTAGGGCCAAATAAAGTGCTTTTCAGGGTAGTCCTATATGCAGATACAGTCCTTGCTGAAAGCCTGACATATATACAAGGCCAGACGAACCTACACTTGCTTGGGCTCCCTTTAGGCCCGCGATAGGCCATGAAGTGTGAGACCGAGACTAAAATCACAAGCTGATGAGGGGTGCGTTGTGCGTTACGGCTTGTACTGCCCACTCCGCCACAGTAGGCTTGCGGCCCATTCTCATGTGAAGCCTGAAGGTGAATTGAGAGCTCAAACAACACAAGAAATCATGCCTCAGCATTGTACCTATCACAACAAGGAGCGTGCGGAGGAGTGTCCTTGACCCCATTATGTTCAGACTCGTGTAGCTGGCTGGGCATACGCGTTCTGTCCAGCCTTGGCTACCGTAAAAGTTAAAGATACGTAGGTCTCGGAGGCAGGATAAATCGTCCCGAAGATGCGATAAGTATCTCAAGAGATACGATGAAGCACGCTAGGAGTCCAGCCTAGGTTGAGTTCCTCTGCCGAGGCGATATGCGTATAGCACGACCCGTCTGCAGATGAGGCCTTGAGGACTAGATTCCCGCCACCATGGCAGAACTTGATTGCAGAATGTGTTTCAGAAGATGCATGCGGGTCGGGGTTCTATATGCTGTACTGACAAAGGCCGGTTCACAACAGCGTGACTCTCAGATGATGCGCCCTTAATGCGTCATCTTAGGGGAGATCTGATGCGCCATGCCTACTTTGGGCCAGAAGGCGTTCTTGGAGACGCCACCACCTCAGCCTATGCTCACCATGCTGCATAACTCATGAAAGATACTCTCTTGAATGCTTCAGCGCAATAGAATTTTAATTTAACCCAGCGCAGGCAGCAATGGACACCGGAGGCGCAAGATAGTGTCGTGATCGGCCATCACCGACGGCAGCCAGACCCTCTTCCGCAACCGCCACTATGCATCAAGTTCACCTGGGGGTATATGCGCCCACAGTCTCATTCATCTCACGCAGCAGCATGTTTCTCAGCGATGACCCCGCGCGGCGCTCGACTATTCACCATAACTATTCGCAAAAATGTTTCACTAAATTCTGGAAAAGGTGTTCGTTCAGTGTCCCAACGACGAAGCCGCCGGGTTGCTTTCTCTGAGGGCCTTCAAGATGAGCGAAGAGGCATACTTTGCTTTTCAGGTAGATATCCTGCTTATAGAGGCGTCCTAGTATGATCTCCGGCCGGAAACATGCCGTATCATGGCTCTCTTACAAGTTTCGGACTAAGATCCAATACTACGCTTGGATTTTGCCGATGAGAGGGTATTTGGAGGTAAGCTTCTTTGCCACTCCTTACGTGTCTATATTCCAGACTTGGCCCTAAGCCCTGGACGAACACTCAGCCAGTCCGAGAATTATGTGCGGCGAAGTTCAATGTACCCCCGCCCGATGGAGGACCAGTCCCCATAAATGCACAGCGTCATTCGTTGCGTGCTCTGTGCATCCACAGTATCAGGCATTTCACGGCATTGTTAAAGGATGTGTTTGCTCTAGTATATCACTAAACACTCGCCATCGCTTGTACCATGGGCAAACTAAGTTGGAGCCCATGGGCCTAATGTCCTGACAATTTACATTCTCCGGAGAAATTCACGATCTAAGATGCTCATTTGAGTATCATTCGGGAGCAAGACTAAGCATGAAGGTACTACTCCTCAGCTCGATGAATCTCATTTTTGCCTCCGGTGGATCTTATCGAGGAAGCTCTTGAACACCGCACGCTGCAGCTTGATGTCGCCATCCTCGCCTGGCCCACCTTCAGGAATTACCTCAATAAGCGTTATGATCCTCTCGTACGCCGCCTCCTCGTACGCAGCGTACTTCTCACGAATGCCGACCTCCTCAAACACAGCCTTCACTTTCCTCTCCGACTCGGCGTCCTTCCGTCCATAGTGTGCTTCGAGCACCGTGCGCTGCTCAGGCGACGCCACCGCCAGCGCAGTGTTGATGCACCACGAGCACTTGTTGTCGACGATGTCCGTGCCGACTTTCCCGATTTGCTCTGGCGTCCCGGCAAAGTCAAGGTAGTCATCTTGCACCTGGAAGTACACGCCGAGCGGCAACAGGATAGAGGCCGCGACACCGTATGGGTCCTGCTGGGAAGGCTGGTGCGTGATCCCGCAAAGATGCATCGCAAGCGCGACAGGGAGGTAGAAGGAGTAGTACGCCGTCTTGTAGAGCACGATTAGGCGATGCCTAGACACGGAGTCAGGACTGACAGATTGTTGATGAGTCTATGCGCATACCTTTCGAGTGAAAACTTGCACAGGTCAACTTTGTCAGCGGCCGCGGTAATGAGATCCAACAGCTGGCCGAGTTCGGTCTGCATCATGGTCTAGAGTGATGGTGACTCGTTGAGTAGAGCATTTTGATTGACGACGACGAACCTCCTGGAAAAGCTCAAGCAAGTCAACATAGAACGGCTCGGTGCGGAAGTGTTTCTTCAGAAGCCAGTAAATTGCTCCTTCGAGCATGCATGCATCATTGACAGCAATAAGCCCAACTTCCGCATTGCGATACCAGCACGGCCGGCCTCTACGAGTGATGCTCGAGTCCATTAGATCGTCCGAAACGAGGAAGACCGCCTGCAGCTGGTTAACGTAGTATTATCAGCTTTATATCCACCACGTTAAGCGTCCTGGGCTCACCAGCTCGACACACCAACCAAGGACGGCCGCTTGGAAATACTTGTCAGAAGTGAGCTCGCAGCCCTTGAGAATCCTGATGGTCTCTACGACGGCAAGACCACGATTGAGCTTGCCTCCGGGGACGTTATAGTCCAGATTCTGCGCAGATACTCAAGCTTAACAAAAATCTCATCAAACCGCAAATACACGTACGTTGGAGAACCACTCAATCGCATCGTTAGGTAAACCCTGCACCCTGCCATTCGCCACTAGCTCATCCCGGACGACCTTGAAAACACCCTCGAACTGCTGACGGTCAGTGAGGATTTCAGGTCGATCGACCTCAGAGGTCATCCTAGCGATATAAAAGCTGATTTTTACGATGTGAAGGCGTATTGTTATGTCCACTCCTATCGAGAGTGGCCTCGGTATATAACTCTCTGGGCATCGTGCCACACCGTATGAGACTTAGGCACATTTAGCGCGCCTTGGCCGGATACCCCCCCACTTTCGCAGCGGTTAATAATGTGGACCCTAGACGACTACTCCAGTCAGCATCTTCATACCAGCAGAGATGGAAGCACCATCAATGTGCCACTCTTCGAGTCCTTGACCCGAACGACGTCTTCAGCCTCCGGCGTGGAAATCGGCGGATGCAAAACCAAGTGCGAGCGTCTCCACCTGCTGGCTTAAGACATAACCGTAACGATAAAACTGAAGGTTCATGCATATCATATTGCATTGCATGTCGTTGGCCTATAAGAGAACATAGGAACATGTCAGGCTACAAGTCTACTGAGATGTACAAGTACTGCGGAGAGGGATGGAGGAAAACATCGACAGCGGACGATTAGAAAGGGGCTGTCACAAGCGTATGGTACCTACGGAGCATGGGGATATTACAGCAGCATCAGCGACAGGATAAGTGCGGTCAACACAGTAAGAAAAAGAGGGAGCTGGAAATCAAGAAGGATGATGGGGACAGAGGAGAGCAAGAGAGGAACAAGGACGGCTGGGACTTGCTGGCTGTACCATGGCTGGCTAGTCCGAAGCTACCGTCCCCAACCGCCACCTCCACGACCGCGACCCCAGGAGCTTCCTCGACGACCGTCGCGGTCCCAGTCCATCCGGTGGTCCCGGTCTCGGTCGGCGGACGGCGCACGCGGCGCACTACCGCCACCCGAGAAAGGCGGGTAATAGTGACTACCGTTACCACTGAGTCCGCGCAGCGCGCGAGGCCCACTCGGCAAGGGCCTCGAGTTTGGTCCTCCAATTTGCAGCTGTGAGCGATGTGCTGCAGGCTGAAGTGGTCGGCGTGGCGGCGGTTGCGGCGGGCGCACGGGAGACGTGCTCCCTGAGTGAACATGAAATGAGCGGGGCTGTGTCGGTGGAGAGTGCGCACGCGGTGCTAAAGGTAAAGGTTTCAATGGCGGCGGACTGAATATCTCGCCGTCTTCACGAGACACTGTGCGCGCGAGGGTATGTTGAGAAAGTGATGGAACGGGTGAGCGAGCTTGTACACGGCGAGACTCGGTGTTCTCCTGATTGATTTGCGATGTGACCGAGGGCGGAGGATCCGGTCTTCTTGTCGGTAACTGAGGCGAATAGTCGACGACAATCCGGGGAGGCGATGGGCTAGGTAATCTCGCTTCGACCAACTCCACTTTAGCAGTGAGTGATACTGGGACATCATCGGTGTCCATGCTGTCGTCGACCGGCTGCGGAGAGGTACCAAGGGCAGCTTCTGGTGTAATATCCTGGAATTTGGGCGAAGGATCTTCGACAGACACCATACCAGCTTCCATGCGAGCGTCCTGGGCCTCCTCATGTCTTGGCTGATTCTGTTCCTCTACCGTAGAGATCGCTACGACCACAGCATCGGTTTCTAAATCTGAGACCCTGGGCGACTCTAACGGCATCGAAGCTTCCTCCTTGTCCTTGCGTGCTGGTTCCGAAGGAGGCTCAGGGGCAAGTGGAGCAGTGGGCACGGATGGTGACGAGCTGGCCTTAGTCTCCTCACGCTGTTTCTTCTTGCGTAATGCAAAGTCCTTCAACGACAACTTCACCTTCGGCGGAGGTAGCTCCTCAATAGCTGGAGGCGGAGGAGTCTTCGGCGGCTCGGCTTTGATCACTTCGTGCTCCTCCGAAAGCTGCCGCGCGGGAGGCTCAGTTGATAGTAACGGCTCCTTAGACGCGTCAACTACAGACATAAACCTTACGTCTGTCGAAATATCCTCTGCAGGAGAAGATGCAGGGGAAGTGGCGAGTATGTGCTCGTCGACATCCTCGGCGCAAGCAGTGTCGCGGCCTGAGATATCTTCGAACTGTCGCAGGGCCGGCATGACTGCATCCTGAATTATAGGAGCTCGTCGTCTCTGAAGATCCTCTATCGGCGACGAAGGTCGAGGAACGGCGGGTTGTGGAGGTGCTTGCACAGGCGAAAGGACTGCAGGCCGACGCGATAGAGCAGACGGTAATGCCGAGGGTTCATCCTTCATTTCAACTTCGTCCAAAGCCTCAGACTTAGTCCAACTGACCTGCGTCAACGGCAGGGACTTGGTCTGCAAGCGAGCAGGCACTCCGTTGACAGCAGGAGACAATAAAGACAAGTTTGCGAATGAGGTAGTAGGAGACGTCAAGTCGAACGTATGGCTGGGAATCGGCGAAGATAGATTCGGAAGGCGATGGGAACGAATAGAGGGCGAAGTGCTGGTCGCCGGTGGTAGTGGAGGTGGGGGCATGACTTTCGCATCTGATGTTTCCAAGGGTTCAGAGAGAGGTTGACTTCGCCCTTGGAGGCACGCACCATCTGATAGCTCGTCAACATCTGCCGTGTTCCTCCTACCCTGCACTTCGTTCGTCCTTTCAGAGGACATCATATTTGTGGGCGAAGTCGATGTATCCGAAAACGAGTCTGCTCTTTCGTGTATCCACTTCTTCCGAAACTTCGGTGGCAGCTTCTCTTCGCTCTGCGGCACAAGTTGGGGCACTGGCAGTGTCTGAGGTGACGAGCTCGACGAGGACTCGAATGACACCGGAGTCAACTTCACAGCGCCGTTCTTGCGCTTCTGTCGGCTCTTCGTCGCGCGTTTCGTTGTGGTCTCTTCATGACGATGCTCTTCCACATCCATCTCGTCGTCCGTTGCCTTGGCCTTCCCCTTCCGATCCCAGGTCTTGGATGTCATCGACTTCGGTGACAGCGGCGTCTGGACATCAGCGGTCGCTAACCGCGACGGGCCAGCCTCGGGAGATTGCTCGCTGTTCCAGCCATTCATCCACTCCTTGGCGGGAGCAACCATCTCCACGCCACTCATCCCACCAGACATTGGCACCCTCTCCTTTGTCCTGAATCCCCTCTCAACTCCAATCAGCGGGCCTAGATCCGCCCTCGTTCTGTGACCGCCCTCTTCCCTGCCCCGTACTCCTGGCCGTGAGAGTGGATCCTCGGCATGATGCGTTGGCGGCGACGGCGACGGCGTCGGCGGTGTCTGCCCATCAACGAACTCGGCAAGCCGGTTGAGCGCACAATCCTTCGTCTTCGCACCACACGCGCAGGTTGTAAACGCCGACGAGAGTGCATGCAGCATAGAGGTCATTTGGTAGCGAAACTGCTGGAAGCATGGCGGGCTGTCGTACGCCCCAGCAAAAGGAGACACTGTCAGCAACCAAAGCCCACATAAGCACAGACAAGAGAGACGCACGCAAAGATATGCGGGCTATCTATCAGCGCCGGGAGATGGTGTATCACACTCCCGTCATCCCACTCCCACCCGAGCACGACCTCCTCGTGTGCCTTGAGGTCACGCAGCGCAAATACCCCGAACGTAAGCGTGTCGTCCTCAGCACTGTTCTTGCGTGCGCGGCGGCAAAGCATCGGGCGCAAAATTGCGTTCGGTCGACATCCACTACGGACATACCGCGAGCTGTTCCCTGCGAGTCGGGCGTCGAGCGCGAGGTCAAGCGGAGGGCCCATAAGGTGCACAAAAGGTTTCGGCATGCCGAGGTGCGCGTACGAGTTCAGGGGGTCTGAAAGATAGACAGTCGAGGGTATGATAGTCGAGGTATATGGCGCGATCAGAGCTGAAGACGGTATCGCCTGAGTCGTGCGCATAGTGTATGATGGTGGGCGTACAGACGGGTTTGTGTGCGAGGATAACGTTGGATGTGAGTAAGACGACTTCGGGAGAGGATGTAGGGACGTCTGTGGTGTCGAGGGGAACTCGTCGGGAGTGAGCAGGACGGGAACGGATGGGTCGTCGATAGTGGCAGCGTCGAGCGCAGTCACGCCACGCCAATGATGAGCGAGTCTCTTGAGCTTGTCGCGAGTGTACTGGTGCGGAATGATGTCCTTGTCGATGTGGACGTAACTGTGAGTCGAGGGCTCGTCAATCTCCACATGCTCGTCCTCCACCGGTGAGTGCTGCTGCTGATGCAAGTGTTGCAGTTGGTGCTGGTGGCCGCCCGAGTGCTGTCGCTCTGCCTGTTGCTGCTGCTGCTGCTGTATGGCCTGCGTGGTATTGACCGAGTACCGGCGTTTTCTCTTCGTTGTTGAGCTGCCGTCGATAGCGGCTGCGCTTGCGCGACGTTTCCTGTCGACACCCGGACTGCTCACCCGCCGTCTGTGCTTCTCCCCCTCGGCTTCCTCTTGCATTTTCTTCTGTCTCTGCCTCTGTAGCCTCGCAGCCCGCTCCCTGTCCATCTTTCTTGGTTCGCAGACCCAACACCGCCATTCTTCAGGGACCTCGCCCTCGCTGATGTCGAAGCAGGCTGCGTGAACCCAGCGCGAACAATCGTCGCACGCTATAGAGAATCCGTCGTCGTAAGTGTAGCCACAGATGCAGTTTATAGAGTCTGAGCTGTTATTTGAAGAATCTGGGTCGTCGTCAGGTGGAAGGAAGGTGGTCGACGGCTTTCGTTTGAGGGGGATCGTCGGCGTTGTCCTGAAGTCGATACTGCCGGTCAGACCAAGGAGACCCAGCGCGGCTTCTGTGGCGTCGTTCGCCATCGTCATGGCATGGGAAAGCGTTGTCGAGGCCACGACGAACGATAAATAAGCGAACCGGAGAAATGGGCGAGGAGAAAGATGAATCCAAAGTTCAGTTTATTCTCCTAGGCCAAGTAGATGGGCGTCTATTGAGTCACAAAGCCTTAGATCGTGATTAAGCTGTGCTTATGGTTGGTCTAGTTTAAGTTCTTACAAGATAAGGATACAGAGTTGCGGGCTTTCACTTAGCGTTCTTACTCGCGAGCTTACTAACTGCAAGGTCCATGATCTCATGGAGTAATTGTCCTGAATAGATGCGACTAATGTACAGACTGCGTGGCATACATGGTTGGCTAAGGAGACTATTTGGTAGCCTCTACGAAGCGATTCTCAGCCTCTTTGAAGTTAATGACATTCCAGATAGCCTTGAGGTACTGCAGACAAGCAACTCAGAACAGCCCAAGTAGCACCAACCAAGCGAATACTCACGTCAGGTTTGACGTTTTTGTACTGAAGGTAGAACGAATGCTCCCAGATGTCGATACCGATGATGGGAGCGTGTGCTGTGATACGGTCAGCCAAACGTTCGTAAGCGCCAATGTAACTACTACTAACAGAGAAGCGGGTCCTGGTTGGCTGTAGTGACGATCTCAAGCTTGCCCGTCTCAGGGTTATAGCCGAGCCAGCCCCAGCCGGAGCCCTGAATGGCAGCTGTGACAGTGTTCATCTTGTTCTTGAACTCTGCAGATCCTGAGGTCAGCCACATGCGCTTGTACTGGGTTAGTATCGAACACACTATCAATAGAACCAAAGTCACGCTCGAGGGCTTGCTTAAGAAGACCGTCTGCAAGCTTGCCTCCACCTTCGGACTCGGGCACGAGGTTCTTCCAGAAAAGGGTGTGGTTGATGTGACCTGGAAGACCTCGTTAGCATTCCCGGAGCCATTGCCGTACTTCATACAGCGCACCTCCACCGTTGAACTTCAGGGCAGCCTGGAGCTTAATGCGCTCCTTGGGTGATTCAGTCTTGGCGTACGCTTCTTCAGCAGCGTTTAGGCCGTTGACATAGGTCTGATGGTGCTTAGTGTGATGTAGGTTCATGATCTCGCCGGAGATATGTGGTTCAAGGGCCTATTTGTCTATATGATCAGCATCCCTTTCTCTTACGACACAGAACATGGAGAACGCGCACATTGTAAGGGTAGTCGAGAGCAGGAAGGGTGTGCACGGATGCGGCAGCCCTGGCGAAAGAGCTCGCGAGGCGCGTCGGGCGGGTGGCAGCGCGAACGAGTCCGAGCATTGCGGCAATCGTTTTGAACAGCGTCGAGCGTGTGTTGGACGTTGGCTGAAGGTGGAGAGAGTGTTCGACTGACGTTTGCCGAACTCTTTAAAGCGGGCGCCACGGACGGGGCCTTCGGCTCCTCCGGCCTTTGACGTCAGATGGCATTTCCTGTCGCTGTTTTGCGCTCGTTGTTCACGCGCATGTATGATTGCACCATGATGCCTGCGGAGGCTCACAACAGCTAAAAAGTACATCACGAGTTACCGAGTACATAACAGTTGGGTATCGGACGTGCTTGGCCCGCGTGACTGCAGCAGTGCTAGGAGAGACCAAGTACAGCTATTTTTTACGTGTCTTTCGCGTTGTCAGCCAATCTCGCCTCAAGGAGCACGCTCACAGTCTATATTAAAACATGAGCAAGAACAAGTTTGAGAGCTGTGCCGCGTGTATACGGATGTTAGGCCAGAGACGTATATACACAAGCTGGTGTTGCTACTTGGTAATGTCCTAGTAATGTCCATTCGGCGAGAGGTAAGGCATACCCAGCACAAAGCAGCTAACAGAATAAAACCTGGAAACACGCTCAGCTGCAGGGTGTTGTATATAAGGACGTTAACGAGGTTACCCGGCATGACGTGCAAGTACTAATAGTACGTCAGGTCTCGTCGCGTACCGCCCCAGCGGCGGACGCGCCGGCGAGATCGCACCCAGGGCTCCCCCTTTGTAATCAGCCACGACAAATAATGCCCCTCGGCTGTCAGCCTGCCCGAACATCAGCTGCCTTGACCGCCTCTTCGGCCTGCATCTATCTTTTAGGCTCTCCATTATCTCCCTCTTTGCTACACGGCGTTAGCAGTACAATGTGTGCTTGTTTCTATATAGACACCTTCCAGCTTGGTGTCCAGCGCTAGCGAAAGCGCGGACTCGGAGCTGCGCGAGAGTTTATTCCACTGCACCGGCGATAGCGCATAAAGTCGATAGCAGGGGTCCTAGCGCGCCAAACTTCCAACGGCTATTAGGGCAATAACATACACCGTGCCGGACGAGAGAGCATAGCGGAGGTCGGGATCAAAACCCTGCAATAAATAGACTTGAGCGCGCTGCCGTGCAGAATGCTGTTCGAAACGGATGCGAGTTGGGTGCGTCTTTTCTCTCTTCCTGATGCATGGTTATATGCTATTCTCACTCAACATCTCGGCCACCATCCGGTAGGCAGTGCTCTTAGTCTCAGATCAAGCAGCTCATCCAGTACGGTAACGCCGAAAGCGGCTACTAAAAGCTAAATAGTAAGCGTTTCGGAGATTACAGGGGGTGATGTGGAAGCTGGAAACGCTTTGTATGCCATTACCAACGGGCCTCGCCACCTATCGAACATCCTGACGTTGTAGCCCGCAGCAACGAAAAATCATCGATGAGCATGGATCAAGGGTCTGTCCAGGGTGGACAAGAAGCTTCACGCGGAGAGCTTGTCTCAGCGATCGTCGGCCAGACGGTGTATGGGAAAGTGGCGGACGCTGAAGCATGTATCGTACCAAAAGGCGGCCGGCTGTCACAAGTTGCGTCTGGCTGACGCGCTCGGCGAACTGCATTGACCGCTTCAACGCACGGAAGTCGTACCTCGTGCCAGGAGAAGACGCGCCGCTGCCGCTGTACGATTCGTTGCTCCGCATGGACTTTGTCATGGCCGCCTTGACCGTGTGGGAAGCCGCGAAGGGCAGACAACAGAATCACTTCTAGGGTTCTCCACAGCCACCGGTCTGTGTATCCGCGCCTTTTCAAAGACCAACTACCGGATCGAAGAACATCAGTCAATGGGACCCTGCTACACAGTCTGCACATCGAATGCTCACGGTTTTGGGCAACAGTCATGATGGTAACTTTGCTGATGTACGTCCAGTATGCTAGGATAGCCCATTCGGCGAAAAACGTTCTCGAGTAGCCTGCGCCTGTCCAGACCGCTGTCTCACGACACATGTCGAATCAACGCAGTTAGGAGACGATATGCCCTGGAAACAAATCAATACAGCAAACAAGCGTGAGATGCGCACCTTGTTCATGAAACGTACAAGCTAATACGAGAATGGAGTGCGAAGATCAGTGCATGGCACTTCAGTAAACCGGCGTCCTGCTTCGAAGAGCAGAAGACTAGCACCAGTTCTGCCAAAGGTACTCACGGAAGGGTCGTAAGATCAACGACAAGGCACATGAAGCACGACATGTCGAAAGGTTGATGGCCATAGGACGCAAACTTTGAGCTAACTAGCATTTCCGCCAGAGTGTATCTTCTAGGCAGAGAACGGGACCAGGACGAGAGGAGAACGGAACCATTGAGACCGCATGTACATGGAACGACATCTCCCTTGCAAAGAGGTGCATGCTCGCCAGGCGGCAGCGTCTTACTTGAGCGCAGGAAGGAGCGGAAGGATAGGAGGTGCGACGGATGGGAACCGGGGCATCGGGAGACTAGCAAGCCCAGGACACTCGCGCGGAGAGTTTACACCGCAGCCGCATAAAGGACCCAGGGCCTCGACAGTTCGCGTTTGCGCAATAACAGAGGGTGGCGGTGCCCGTGCAGGAGGTCGGCATGAGCTCTCAGCGAGCACCGTAGTTTCTCGCTGGTAACTTCGCAGAGGGAGGAATTGTTGTGCATGTTCTGGGCCGCGTGAGACACCGTCGGGATGGAAGAGTTGCATTGCGAGTCTGAGGGGCCAAGGCGGGAGGGAGAAGGGGAAGCGACGGTGTTTGGTGAACACCGCTCTGCAAACACAGCCCTTAGCCGCTTACCTAATCGGGTGGCGGTCGGCGCGACTCCGGCGGCGGAATATTCGCACATTTTTCTGGTCTATTTCGTTGTCCCATCTCTTGTTCAGCTCTTTTGCTCTCCTTCACCTCTTCTGCCCCCCTTTCTCGGACTTTTCTTCCTCTTGCCCTTTCTACCTATCTTTGTGCCCCGCCTTACACATCCTCGCGACGCACGCGCACACCTCGCTGCAACACTCGCTTGCTGCACGACAGGAGCCGCTCGGCTGTGCACGACACAACCACTAGCGACAATCGGTCGAGTTCACACTTGTACGGCACTCCTCACGACCCCACGGCCATGTCCTCGCAAAACCTAGTGCGTTGCCTTGCGTCCGCCTCCGTTCGCGCCAGCTCATCGTCCATCGCAGATTCGCCGGAAGCTGGTCATCGTTGGCGATGGTGCGTCCATGATGGTACTCGTGCTGTCCTTGGCTAACTCATGGTCCTCGCCGTGCCCTTCCATTGTCCTTATCTCTCGCTCTGGCAACCATCCAACTACGACTCTGAAGGCGCCTGCGGCAAGACGTCATTGTTATGCTCATTCGCTCTGGGAGAGTTTCCGAAGGAATACGTGAGTCCACTCAATATGTCTCTCAATGTGAATCTGATTAGAATGCAACTCAATAGCAACCAAGTAGGTACCTTTGCTCACGCAGGAAAACCTGGTAATTGATCCGCAAACCAGCCATTTTTGAGAATTATGTGGCCGAGATCAGACTAGATGGAAAGCCTGTGCAGCTGGCTCTATGGGATACCGCGTGAGTCTTTCGTTCGCGTCTCGAGCTGGCCTGTTTGCATGGAGTGCTACGCTTGCACGATTGGTTCAATACTGGCTTTCCGGGCGCTGCGTTGGGATGAGTCCGTCGGGTCAAAAGGGTGGTTCATTCCCGGCGCGGTTGTTGTTGTTGTTGAGGCTCTCGCTAGGCTCCACATCACTGCCTGGCGTAATCAGCAAGCTCGCTTCGGATAAGTCGCACAAGCGCAGTGCTCCACAAATAGGTCTCGCCGAAGCCATGCTGACCCATGCTAATCACGTCACCGCAGCGGTCAGGAAGAATACGAGGTAAGTTTGTCCTTCCAATGACAATGCTTTGGACACGAAAGCTGACTTCTGCATACAGCGGCTACGACCCATGTCCTATTCCAAATCACACGTCATTCTTATTGCATTTGGCATCGACACGCCCGACTCGCTGGACAATGTTTCTGTCAAGGTGCGACGCGCATGCCCACCCACCCTAGACTCAGCTGATGTCGCCTCAGTGGATAGAGGAGGTCCGCTCGATTTGTGGTCCACAGATACCCGTCATTCTCGTCGGCTGCAAGTCTGACCTGCGACCGCCGGAAGGAAGCCCAAACTCACAGAGCTTTGTTTCGCGTGCCCAGGCAGAGCAGGTAGCACAGGCTATTGGCGCGCGTGCGTACAAAGAATGCTCCGCCCTCAAGATTGAGGGCGTCGACGACGTCTTCGAGGCCGCGACTCGTGCGTCGATGCTCATGCGCGAGGGTGTGCCTACTGCCGCGCACCACCGGCGAAAGAGTAGTGGTCGCACCGGCGAAGAGTGGGAGCAGCCTAAAGGTGGCTGCTGCGTCATATGCTGAGACATTTGCTTCAGAGGCAAGCACGTTACGTTGTCTCACTCATGCTCGTAGACCCTCATGTCCGCCCTGGATCTCACTTCTGCTGGCTCATGTACCCCAGGATTTCTCCAGTTTCATATCTCTCCTGCTCTGCATCACGGTTTCTACTCCGTCGGACGCGCATCTTACTCTTCCCGGTCTCCAGTCCGTTGTCTGCGCTTCGAAACTCTTGCCTTTCTTCTATCTTTCTTTCTGCAATGCCAAAGGACTCATATATTACATAGCTAGATCTCATCATGAATTCATCTTCGTTCTCACTGTGTACATCTCTAATGCTTGGATCTGTCTCGCTATTGCTCAATTCTGTTACTTCTGTATCTCCTTACCCCTGGCTGCGCCCCCTGACGCCCACCCACGTGATTGGTTTGTGTCAAGTCGCGTCGTGGTCGTGGTCTATCGCGTTTCATTCTTGCTTTGATATATAACCACCCTCACTTACAGCTCGCCGTGGCCATTCGCGCACTCCACGGAATACTGAAATCATATTCCGACGGCGAGTAGAGGTAATTCTTCAGTACTTCATGTCTGCAGGACAGTTGAACCTTGGGTCGGTACTCACGGGTATCGACAACGAGTATGCGCAACGCAGGAAGCAGCGCCTGGCACTCATCAACCAGCTGCGTGCGATAGGGTGAATACGAATAAATACCTGTGCTTTTGAGGTACTAAGCCGTGCTTCTGAGCCAGCGCACAAGCAGAGTTCGACCTTCCTCGCGTCGCCGTCATCGGGAATCAGTCCGCGGGCAAGTCTAGCCTCGTCGAGGCCATCTCTGGCGTGCGCTGCACTGTCTTGGTTTGCCGTACCTCCGATGCTAATTACTACCTGCAGATCAACGTGCCTCGCGACGCCGGGACATGCACTCGCTGTCCGATGGGGTGCCGCCTCTCCTCATCCACCCAACCATGGACGTGCCAAATTTCAATCCGCTGGAGTTCACCCCAGAAGGGACTACAAGCGACGTCGTCATCGAACAAAAGTTTGGCTCGCCGCTGCACGATCGGACGCACGTCGAGCTCGTGCTCCGTCGCGCGCAAACGACGGTGCTCAACCCGAGTACACAGCCCTGAAATTTTGTAAATATGCCCCCAGAGACGATGGAAGAGCTCAAAAACGAGCTAGCGTTTTCACGCAATGCGGTCTGCATGGACATCTCTGGTCCTGAGATGGCCGACCTTGCTTTCGTTGATCTTCCTGGTGAGTTTCAGTCTTCTCTTGTAGCTTGATACAACAGGACGAGTGCGCTGCAGGTATTATTCAGAATGCTTCTTCGGACACGGTCCAGCTTGTCGAAGACCTCGTGAAGTCTCATATTAAAGGCAATTGTCTGATTCTGGTCACATTGCCCATGAACGGTACGTTCCAGCAGGCCTAATTGCTGTAGCCTACAGCTGAAGAATTAATTTTCTAGACGACATCGAAAATCAGAAGGCCATGCAACTAGCTAAGCAAATTGATCCTGCCGGCCTCCGCACCATAGGTAAGGACCAACTGGCGCTGCTTACACTCCTGCCATAACTTGCTCTTCTATCTCAGGCGTCATGACCAAGCCTGACACGCTACCTGCTGGCGCAACGAAAGCGCGGGATCTCTGGCTGGATGTCATCGAAGGTCGTCGCTCTCCGCTCAAGCAAGGCTACTATTGCACACGCCAAGCCCGACGACGATGAACGTGCTAAGGGCATTACCAATGCACAAGCGCGGGATGCTGAGATGGCATTCTTTCGTCACAACGCCCCATGGTCAACCTCGTCTCAGAAGTATCGGTTCGGCACGGCTCAGCTAGTAGCCAGCCTAAGCAAAGTACTGACAAAGGTTATCTACGACACGTACGTGTTTTCTGCAGCCTTCTGGATTACGCCCGTATTAGCTATCTCTGCAGCATGCCAAAATTGCGAAAGGAAGCGACCACCCAGCTAAATGCCTGCATACAGCGTCTCAAAGAGCTTCTACCTGCTATTACCGCTGAACCGACTTCTTACGTGCTCAGCCTTTTAACAACATTCTGCCGCGACGTCGCCTCGTACATTAACGGTGACACGGACACTGCAAGTCTTGTCCAGCAGAACCGTCGCACCTACGCGACGTTCAAGCGCAACATCCGTTCCTCAGCCCCACCGTTTGTACCACTTCCATCTGCACTCTCTAGTCGCTCGGGACTCGCAATGTACTCTGAGGCCGATAGCGATGACGATGATTCCTCGGACGTCGTAGACCTTACGGAAACCGGACCTCGACAGTATATCACTTTGCAGGACGTACGAAAACACATTCACAAGTCTCTCGGCAAGGAGCTCCCGGGAAATGTTCCCTATGGTGCCAAAGTGTCGCTCATTCGCAACTTCAAGGTATTCTGGGAGATTGACACCCGGAAATGCTTCCAAGATGTCATGCGCGCTTTCGAGGAGACCCTTTCGCGGCTCATTCAGCAACATTTCGAGCGATATCACGAGCTCAAATCTCGTTTGCAGTACGTATACCTCCACCCACCTTGAGGTTCTTAGCCTGATACCTGCATTTCAGTGAAGCTACCAAGGTCCTCCTGGATACACAGAAAGATGTCGCTTGGGAAAGGGTCCAGGATATTCTGGACCGCGAGGAGACGCCGTTCACGCAGAACAAGCACTACTATCAGGTCTCAAAAGCTAAATATCTGTCCATCTACAGAAGCGCGCGAGCGGGCAAAACGGACGCTGCTCAGGAGCCTGCTCAGAAACGGCGCAAGGTGGAGGGTAATGTTGTGAAGGAGGCAGCTGTAGCTATCATACCTTCCACCCCTCAGAAGGCAGCGTTTGCTACCAGTTTTAAGTCTGCTTCAACGGTCCCGCAGACTCCCACTCCAAAGCCGTCGTTCGAGACGCAGCCGTCCAGTGTGCCGCAAAAGCGCAGCATCGAGGAAAAGCGGGAACTCGATGCTGAAGAACGGGCACGCTTTGAGCAGCAGGCCATTACCGCGCTGACTGTCCTACTTGGACACAACGTCACGCTGGAAGACTTCGCAAGACTCCTCCCTCCGGACGTGTACGAGGAGGAACTCGAAGTGATGGCCGAGGTCAGGGCCTACTTTAAGGTCGCATATAAGGTATGCATCTCTCCATTATCTTTGTCTGGAGGATCTCATGTACCTTGCAGCGCATGATTGATGACGTCCCGATGGCCGTCGACGACAAATTTCTCGCTATGTTCAGCGGCCACTTGCAGGAGTTTTTGCTCTCCAAGCTTGGTATAGGAGGACCGAATTCGAGTGCGCGCTGCGCAGCGTATCTTGCGTAAGACCCTGCCGTTCTTGCGGAGAGGGAAGAGTTGATGAACAAGAAGAAGAGGCTCGAGGCCGTCCAGACGGAACTGCTGAATTTTGGCCTTGAATCTTGAGCCCGACAATCATTACCTTCTCGTTTCAGGACGCTCTCTTCCATGGGCTCAATATTTACGCTCAAACCGTAGGATACTCGTTAGATGTAGCCTGATTTCTCCCAGCAATTTGACTGTACTGGATAAACATATACTCGACGCGATAGGGGTTGCTTCCCGGACGTGCCCCACGCGGGCGTCTACACTATTACCTCGGCCGCCAGACACTGCTTCGGAGCTGGCCACGGTGATCTCCCGACCCCGAGCTCACTGTCCACAGTAATTACCGGAAATACAAGATAATATGGACGCCCCCGGCTCTGATTGACTCTGAGTTCTGAGGAGTGATCCGCCTCTCGCCTATGACATCAACGGTCGCTATTGGGATCTGTAAACGACTCGAGAGATCTGCAGACGAATATCCGTATAAAGACGGCGTGCGTCCTCTATCTCTCGATCCCCGGCTCCTTCACTCTCTTTGCTCGCCAGAACGCCCCAAATGAATATGCTTGACCCACTCAAGGGCGCAGAGTCCGGTTCTGCGTTCGCGCACTACGAGGCACGTATTCGGACTCTCACACACCTCCTGGACAGACAACCATGCCTTATCCCCATCTCTAATCTTGACCCCGAAAACCCCGATGAGAATGAGGAGCTGCGATTCTACTACTACGTAGCAACACTCTTGACTACAGGGTCTCTGGACCAGAACTGTGCAGTCACTGCGATCCTGCTTCCAGGCCTAGTCAGGTGCATCATCGTGCATACCGGGGAGGCAAAGCAGGAGCATACTCGGACGCCAGTCGCTCAAGCACCGACGCAGGCGCATCGTGTACAAGAGCGGCGCATCGATCTTCGAACCTTGGGTTCTTCACCGTGAGTACGACAGCGGTTGTAGCATCTCAAAATCTGATCAGGCCGTAGGTCAGACTCGGCTACTATTGACTTCGAAGCACATGCGGCAGACCTATTGCACGCACTACGGACGTTCCATGATACCCTCCACGGCGAGGGCCAGACTTCGCCTTATTGGTACTTTTTACGCTTCATCGTCCGCAGATGCCACGGCAAGATCGCAGAACGCATGTCCAATGGCAACAGAATCTGGGAGAAACATCCTATGACAGTCTTGCATGACTGGCACCCAATGGGCGCACACTTCGAACGCGAGGAATTCACAGTCCACCATCAGATACTCGAAGCGACACTGTCATTGTACGGTCTTACCGCTACGGGCGATCATGGGGATCAAAAGTCATATTATTTTGCATCCGATAATGCGAGGGTGTGGGCGCAGGTCGCATGCGCTTTGTATGGCATGCTCGAGAAGCGGCTCTTCACTCCATTCTTCGAGAACGACCAGATCAAGTTCATGCCCCGCGCGACCATGGACGTCGACTCTATCACTGTAGTCGCAGACTATCTAGATACTTTCTCTGTTCTCCTGGATCTACCGCCGATACAAGCCATTCTCACTCATAAATCATACACATCTATGCTGCGGCCGGCACGCACCACCTATGAACAGCCATCAGTAAATCCCAATCAAGGCGCGTTTTCTTATCTTGTACTTTGAGCGTCGCGGATAACTCTTCTCGTAGTCGCTTTGCAGCAGGATCTCGCGGATGAGTCTTATCATCGGGAAGAGACAGAAGGCGAACATGTTTGTCGCTACTTAAGAGCAATTGTCGCCTGGGTTGCCGCTATCCTCGCGGTAGCGCAACACGAAGTGTTTCGGCACAATGTACCTGTTGAGGTCTTCCACATCCACTTGCCGGGCGGCGCGACGACGGACCTCTTTGTACCTCAATCCATCCAACAGGACGTCCTAGGGCGCTACTCTGAGGACAGCCCTATTTCTGATCGTGTTAAGGCACTCTTCGACTCACAGCAGCGACAACGACACACGCTTACGCACTCGATACATGCGGAGTCCGCCCTGCTAGGCATTCTCCTCGACGACACGAAAGAGATTTTGCCCAACCTGCGCAACATCTTCGAATACAATGGCCGTGCTTTCAGGGACATACGCTCCTCATTCCCGGTGAGCGGAACCGGCCGGGCGCATGCTCAATACTGACCTAGTGTCGGTCTGCAGCAAGGCTACGTCTCCATCGGCAGCACGCATAATTGCTGCTTTTGCTGCTGGTCCCTCGCAGAGTATCTGTCGAAGAAGACCGGGCTGCAGATCATCCTATCAGGAACTCATGGCATCGTCCGCCCCTGGGTGGCTGCCCGTGGTATCCCGGTTGACGAGCTGCGAAGCCTGGATGTTGCGCTGCTCGATGCGCTGCAGGAGCGGATATCACGGGGCGAGATGCCCCTCGACGCAGTCAAACACGTTCAGCGGCGACATCGTTTTCATTGGTTATGCTCGGCAATTTGTTAATATATTGCTACAACAATTGAACGACAGTCTGTTGTTTTAACTCTTTGCTACTGCATGGCCATTCGGAACTTTGTTGGATACCTTCCGTTGCTCTTTCTCCGCATCGTACAATCCCAGCTCAGCAGCTTTGATCAAGATAGCCTGCAGAATTCATCTTGAGCACTTGCCAGGATATGAGAGATTCGCATACATACCAGCTGCTTGGACATGAACCGGCAGTTGAAGAAGTCGCCTACGGCATACCACAGCTGTCGACGCTCAGTATAGTTGCTTGTCCAAGAGACGGGGTACGTACTGCTGGATGGCCTGTTGGCCGGAAGCAACCTTGGATCTCGCACTCGTCGTCGAATCCCCAGACCTCGCACGTACGGTCGATCACATTTTCGCCGAAAGTACGCTGGTTGACGTTTCGAATGAATTCGTAGCCCGTCCTATTGTCCACATTAGTAAGCTGTATGTTAGGGTTCGAAGTTGCCCTTACGCAAAAATCACAGCATCTGCAGATATCGTAGACCCATCGGAGAACTCCAGACCGTCAGATGTGAAAGATGTCGGGCTCGAACCTTGTTTGATCTTGATGCAGTTAGTCGCAATGAGGTCGGCCCCGCCCTTATCGAGCCCTGCAATACGTTAGAAACCGGTTGAGGAAAATCAGGAAGACCTACAGTAGCCTGAACAGCCGCATAATGAGCAGTTGAACCGGAGCGCTCGAGACGATCTATTACTCACCGCCACTGCGCGAGAAGAACATCAGGAACTGGCCCTCGTTCTCGGGACCCTGGTGCAGCTTGAGCCCACCCTTGCGCAGCTTCTCGTGCAGCACCGTCTCGCGCGCCCAAAGCGCCTCGGTATTGCTCTGGTTTACTTGCTTGAAGTATCCGAGCGGGAGCGCCGAGTACTTGAAATCGCCAACTGAAGTTGGCTCGCCTGGTCTCCAAAAGTGTTGCAGGTCCTCTCCGACTGAACTCCGCGAGACAACGACCGTCTGCGAGCGTTGCACCATCGTCACCGATGCCGCCCCGCCTTTCGCGATATCTTGGCAAACGTCAATTGACGAGTTACCTGCGCCAACGACGACGACATGCTTCCCTAAGAACGGTGCAGACTCGACAAACTCTGCAGCGTGGATCACAGTGCCCTCAAAGCTCTCTCGCCCGGGAAGTTCTGGGATGCGTGGTGCGCCGAGGGTGCCTGTCGCGAGCACAATGTGCTTCGGGTGCAACTCCACGTTCGAGCCGTTGTGGTCAACAACAACGTGCCAAACGCCGTCAGCCTCGTCGTACCGCGGTTGCTCGGCGAAGGTGCTCTTCGTCCAGATTGTCAAGTGCTGGTTGACAGCGTACGACTCGAGCCAGTCCGCAACTTTGTCTCGGGGCGCATACATAGGCCAATGGGAAGGGAAGGGCTGGTACAGCACTAGATCGCGCGTCTCCCAGCGTCAGCGGCAGGCACACTCCCCAAAGCAACCAGCACTTACATGGAGAATAGAAGCCTGGAGTGTGGAGCGCAAGGCTCTTGTACCGTTTCCTCCAGTTATCACCGATCCGCTCGTTCTTTTCGATGATCAACGTCGGAATGTCCATCTGCCGGAACCTCGCAGCGGTATTCAGGCCACACTGTCCGGCCCCAACTGCGAATTGTACGTGAGCAGAGTTCCGTTGAATGACATACTTGACCTACCGACTAGCACATGCGGGCTCGCCTCGATCTTGGCCTTCCGCTCGGCCTCGAGTTCGCCCCAGGGTTTGCCTGCCGACTCCCAGTCTTTCGCGACGTTCTGCGGCTCGGGATGCGTCTTGAGGTCAAGCACGAGCATTCCAACGGTGATAGCATGCCAGGCGCCGCCCTGGGCCTTCCGCAAGTGTGCGTAACCTCTGCCGATAGAATGACGCGTCTCGTACGTGAACCCGGTCTCGACGCCGACTTGCTCCCCTGACGGAGTCAGCGATGGGCGCGGCGTGAAGAACGGGTCTGTCTCGAGGGCAATGTTAGTAACATGGGCCTCAGACAGGCGACTGTCTTCGGAGAGGTAGCGTGTGATCTCCTCGCGTCCACGCAGAGAGCGAGTGTCCCAAGAGAAGGTGAGGACGTCTCTGAGCCAGCCGCCTGGTAGGAATGTTGCTGCGATTCCTTGCGCATCACGGTGTTCGAAAGCACGTGCAAAGTCTGCCAGCCAGATCGCGGCTGTAGCCTGTTCGTTGTTCGCAGCAGCCATGATTGAGTCGTCGGTGGGAAGGGCATCACTGGCGACTTATATCGGCCATTGTGATCAGGGTCCGGCAAGCAGCCCTGGGGAATGCGCGCATCGTGAGACGTAAGGTTAGCCGTGCGGCTCAGCAGAGATTCTCAGAGTTCGATGTGGGCATCGTTCACTCGGGCTTTCCCAGGGAATGACTCATTAGCAATGTTCGTCAATGAGAATATAGATATTTCGCTTACCTTGAGCCATTCGCGATGCATGACGACGCCGTCACAATTGCGCGACAATGAATAGTGCGGCGCTGTTAGCAGGCGTCTGAAGGTCAGCAGGAGAGCCCCGCGGTCAGGGACGCGTGGGACTTACTACTCGATAGGCTGTCTTAAGCGGGAGAACATCTCAAGTGAAGGCTAGCACATACACACAATACGTATGGGATTTTCGTTGGTACGTCAGCTGACTCAGCACACATTTGTGTTGGGGCGTCTGGCGGGCGCGAGCAACCGAGGGACACCGGGCTTCGCAGTAGCCCTGCAGCGGGACTTTCACGCCTGACATTACAAAGAAGAGACGGGACCAAGACCATCGGAAGGATTCGTATTTCGGACGTAAGGTTCTAATTCATGAACTGTATACAATGAGCACTGCGCTCGCTTCAACACCTACAACACGTGAAGTTCGTCAGCAAAAGCACTGAAGCGAATGCAAATCGCACAGAGAGGTGGAAACGCAGTACAGAAGGGTGTGTGTACAGACGACAAGTCCATTCAATCGCTCGCAATCGCACCTAGTTTGCCGGTTCTGGCCCCGGCCCCGGCGCGCTTCCCGCGACGAACCGCCCCATCATCTCCACCATGGGTTTTCGATCTCGGTGAGTGTCGAACACCTTCGAGTGATCCAGATTGGGGTACCACAGAACCTCGAGCATGCTGTCCTCGCTCACCCAGCAGAACTCGGGATCAGCACCTTGCGTGAGGTACCGACGCACTTCCCCGGCGTTGACGACCTGGTCGCGCCCGCTAAGCACGACGCCGACGCGGCGCCCGACGATGTCTTCGCGCCAGAGAATGTTCTCTGCCCAGAAGAAGTGTCGAGCCAGGGTGCGCGCGATATCTGGGTCCCGCGAAGCAAAGTACCACAGCTGCCACTCGTTCGCAGTCTTTGGCGGCCGGTACACAAAATTGTACGCAACAGCGGGCTGATGCAGCAGGAACGGGATTGGGTCCACGAGCAGCCACGCAGTGACGCGCTTCGAAATTTCGGGTGAGCGCATGATGTGCGTGGAGACGACCGTGCCATAAGAGTGCCCACAGACGACGAAAGAATTGATGTTGTGGAACGCGAGGACGAGCTTGATGGCATTTAGCATAGCAGGCCTGGGGAGCGGTGGTGGGGAAATGCGCATGCTGACGGACAGGATTTCGAAGGCAAGGATCCCGACGTCAGGATCTTGCGCGGCAAGCTCCCGGAGGAATGAAGCGTAAGGCCATAGCCCGATCTGCAGGTTAAATTAGCGTATATGCACATTATATGACGGATTACACACACCCCGATCCCGTGAAAAAATATGATAGGCTTCTTTGTCTTCGAGCGATGCGGACGATACCAATAGCAAAGTTCCGGGTGTGGAGAGCGACTCCACAGAGCGTTGAATATGCGAGTGGGAAAGTAGCAGAACCATCTATGGAGGGTATAATGTTTGAAGTCGTGGTGGGCAAGGTATAGGGACGTGTATATGTCTACTATGAAAACAATCTGTACGACATTAGGGTCATCTTCTCCTAGTATGAGCACCAAAGAATACCCACAGAGTACCAGATCATTGGTCTATGGAGTGCATAAACAGGATCCAATGAAACCTTCATACACTTGATTTCTTCATTCCGCCCGGGCTCAATGTTGCGGCCGAGAAGTGTCTCTAAAGCACGGATGTAGTCTTCGATTTCGGCCCACCATTCTTCGACGAGTTGGTCACGTGTGGACGAGAAGAAGGCCCAGAGGATCCATTCGATGACATTCTCGCGGCGTATCGCGCGTAGGGGCGGGAAATAAAACCAGCCCGTGGCGAGGTCGGTGTCACGTACGCAGGCGAAGCACTTTGCGAAGAGAGCTTGCCGTTCTTCTCTGGTTAGTGGCTCGGGATGTTTCGCGGTCTACGGGGTGCGCAATGAGTCTGGGATCGTAAAGACAGCAGTGTAGCATCTATCCCTCGCTCGCGAGCTAAGCCGTGTTTGAACACTTGCTCACGAGCGGAGCCAAACTATGTACGCTGTTCTCTGAGCAGCCGAGGCGACTTTGATGTTCGACTCGTGCATCGCTGACCGTCGCGCAGCTAAGCCCAAGATGCTCACCTTCTGCAGCCAATAACCCCGAGGCACATACACAAATAGATAGAAAAAAGCTTCTGTGCATGCATAGTTGCTCAACCAGTATGAATAGACCCAACGCCCGGTGTAACAACTTGCGGCGACGTATGCGATGCTTAGCGGTGCGACGAGGCGGAGGCAGACGATGCAAAGGCGGATGAAGATGTATTCAGGAATGGAGTGGCCAATCATGGGAAGCGGTCGAGCTGGAGTCTAGAAAGGAGCGGTGCTCGAAGTCGTCGGGGACACAAAAGTCGAACTTGTGGGTGCGTTTTTGTGGGCATTTCTCTCCACTGCGTGCCTTGGCGAGCGAGCTCCTCATTACCCGTAAGGTTGTGGGAACCGCCGAAATGTCATCGCCGATGCCGGCCCCGGCCGGCTGCGCGCCCTGCGCTTGCCGACGGCGCAAGCAAACTTGTCCCGAACTCTCATCTCAAAGACAAGCGACCGCAGACAAGGCCAGCACCGTCCCCCCATCCACCACCGCAGGCACTCAGCACTCCCCGCATCGTAGATCTGCTACTTATGGCGAAAAAGAAGAGCAAACAGGCAAGTCATCACTTTCTATCTCTTTGATTGCAGCTGTTTCATCGTTCCTCAGATCCTTCGGCCCTGGTGCTGGTATTGTGAGCGGGAGTTCGAAGATGAAAAAGGCATGTGTTAGCTTCTGGTGGACTGATTCGCTGTTAACGCTGCAAGGCATCCAGTTCTAATGCAGCATCAGAAGGCCAAGCACTTCAAGTGCAACCTTTGCCCTCGACGTCTCAACACCGCTGGAGGTCTAGCAGTTCACATCCAACAAGTACATAAACTGGAACCTGAAAAGTGCGCCATTATTTCACACGCTATACCAAGTGCCCTGACGTCTGTGTGTAGCCTTCCCCGTATCGAAAATGCTCTTCCTGGCCGCGACGGCTACGAGGTCGAAATCTTCGGTATGGAAGGTATTCCTGCACCGGACGTCGCCGACTACAAACGTCGCAAGGAGATCGAGCTTGGCCTGAACCCCGGCACCATTAGCGCTCCCCCGAATAAGCGTCCTAAGGTCGAGAATCGCCCACTGTCCGAAGAGGAGCTGCGGGCCCAGCTTGACGCACACAAAGCATTGATGGGTGCGTCTGAGGGTGCACCTCCCGCTGCAGAACAGAGCTCGGCGGCTGTTTATGGTGCGCCGCCACAGGCGTACACATCTCCTCCTGTTCCTGCTGTCTCGACTCCTGTTATGTCGCCTCCCGGTGTGCCATCAGTGGTCCCTCCAGGTGCGCCCCTTGCTTTTGCCCCACCCTATCCAGTACCGCCATTCCCTTCCCCGGGAATGATGTCTCTGTAAGTCTACTTCTCATTACCGACTCGCGCTACCGCTTACCATGGCCTGTATGTAGTATTCCACCCGGTGCGTCCCCTCCGCCAGGTTTTCCCGTTCATCCTCCTGGCGTGCCTCCCTTCCCACCGCCTCCGGGTATGCTACCGCCCGGTGCACCAATGCCTCCCTTCCCTGGCATGCGACCGCCTTTTCCGCCTCCGCCTTTCATGCCTCCCGGTGTGCCTCCGCCGTCGAGCTTCACGCCCCAACCCTCGGCCGTTACTCCTCCCGCACATCCTACATTTGTCCCTGCTAGTGCTATACCTCCACCTCCTTTGTCTCCTAGCATCATCCCTGGTGCTGTTGGTAGCGTCCCGCTGTCAAGCACGCTCATGGCGACCCTAACGACAAGCAGCACTCCAGCGCCGCAGCTGAAGTTACCGGATCCGAATTTTGAGCAGACGTACGCGCCATTCAAGAAGCCGACAGTTCTCAAGTGGTCGGATCCGAACTTCTCTCCTGTGCGTTTCTTCTTTCCGACCATCCGAGATTTGCTAATCATAGTTCAATAGGAGGAACACCGTGCGATTCATTCGAAATATCATACCCCGAAGGAGACGACCAATCAGCAGACGACTGGACAGGCTCAGGAGGCAGAGTTGAGGGGCAAAAAGCGTGCGAGGGCGGAGGACTTCTTGTAGTTATGTGCGCTTCGGTACTAGCCAAAGGTGAGCTATTGGCGCTATCAACGTTTTGCTTCGCTGATGATCAAAAAGCTGTAACGGTGCGTGTGCGCGTTGATGTTCGCAACGTTGAAGGTCTGTTAGGTTAATCATCGGGCTGTGGGCTGCTGTGGGGCTGCGAAGAGGCACGGGAGAGCGGCAATCGTCAGTCCGTCCCCTCCGTTGTATGTCTGTCCATTCTTGAGTGGCATACTCATCACTGTCTTCCACTTCGACGTCATGCAAGTCATGCAAGGACGGCGTCGGGCATACCGCTTGTGGTGCGGGACCTTGTCTTTTCCTGTCAATTTTCCTGTAACTTGTGTAGCTTGCTGCGTGCGCGAATGCGCTAGACTACGGTTGGTGTCTATTCTCTGCCTTGTGTCAGGTTGTGTCTTGTGATGTGGTTCCGTAAATATTACTTTTGTCAACAGAACGATTTCTCCTGTGGTGAATATATGCTGCCAACCGAGTAGGGTAAGTGCCCATCAAACACTGAGAAAATTGGCTGTTTGCAGAATACAAGATTGTTGTAGGGAAGACAAGGGCTGGATGAGATGTATCAATCACTGTTTTCTACCAACCGGCTAGGCTAGCTGCTAGGTTGAGCAGATCCTGATACAAATTTAGCCCTCGAGCTATTTGTGACATGTGTCAATTGTGTCGGAAAAACAAATCCCTTGAAATCCTGTTCAAGGCATATCAAGGCATCAATAAAATCAGGACATTGCAATTCATTAATAAAAGAATGTTTATATTGAGAGATACTGGCTTATCATTTCAAGGCATCTCAAGACACCCTCAATGTGTGTTCAATCTGAGCTGTCACAGCTTTATTTGCCATTTCAAGCCATTGAAACACTTGACAATTATTCCAATGGCTTGCAAGCAACTTGCCCCTTCTAATGTGAAGATACAACTGAGCTCTTATTGTATTCTGTCCTACTGAGCCAGTATATATACATGAGAGTTAAGACTTCTGATACTGCAATGAGACCTATGTGTGTAAGCATGTATAGTGAGCATTTGTTATCATGGGTGCATGGCAAAGAGGAGAAGGAAAGGAGGGGTGCTAAAGAGCTAGGGTCGAGGGGGGCCAAACTGAGCGAAGCAAGGTGAGGCAGAGGGCTGATTGTGGCTGGAAAACAAAGAACCTTGTTGTTGTAGGTGACACAAGTGACTTTCGTGATGACACTCTTCAGTGCATTCCAGGAAGTACTTATACCTTGTGCACAGGACTTCGAGGAGCAGAGAAGTACTTGTGACTCCGTTCTGTGCACATATGCCTACATATAATATTGATACATATTATGTAGTAGATTGAACTGCTATAAACTATAATATTATGTTATTTCTGCTGTGCTCTGTTGTAGTATCTGAGGCGCCGGATGCGCATCAGCCGCGCCGGTAGGGATACCGACATGACGCGCTTAGGTCGTCATGCCCAATATGGATCTGTCATGCCCGTTTTAGATATGACCCGCGCAGAGCACTCTTGGCTCTGCGCCCTCGTTATGCTTCCTCTTAGTCTCAGCTTCCTAAGGTACATTTTATTGGTCTGACCAGATTAGAAAGTAGATAACCTATATAAGAACATGTAGTATTATTTTTGGAAATTATCCTTGATTACTCGTGAATCCCCCGCCTGCACGAAGTCTTTTCCAACAGGTTATGAGCCCCGCGCTCTAATCATTGGTCACCGACATCACCTGCAGAGTCAACGCGACCCTTTCCCACTGTTGATCAAACCTTGATCGACCCTGTGATACCACGTCCAGAACGAACTCTATCTAGGCGCCGCCGTAGACTGTTGTTCTCGAGAGTATGGACAGTTCCCCAAAGATTGAAGCCCTGAAGGGCACGGAGAACTACTTTTCCTGGAACATTCAAATCCAAGACGTTCTCACACTCGCTTCGCTGTTAGAATATCCCAAGGGTACGAAGACTCTACCTGCTGATGCGGCTCTGGCAGCTGATTGGCAGACGAAAGACCGGAAGGCATTAAGCACCATCCGCCTCTGGTGCGCCCCCGCCATTGTCATTCACATCGCCGACTGTACCACCTCGAAGGACGCGTGGGAAACACTCACGAATACGTTCGCCAACTCCGGTATGATGTCGAGGGTCACGGTGATGAGGAGACTGCAGAAGACGCAGATAGGAGAGGAGGCGGATATGGAATCAGAGATTTGCCAAATGAAGCAATACAGGTCCCAGAATAGTCAGATGGGAGGCACGATGAGTGATCTGGAATTCGCTCAGAATATTCTAGCCACACTTCCCCAGTCCTGGGACCCCCTCGTTAACTCCACCCCTATCACAGCTACCACAGCTGAGGTCACGGGACGTATTCTATCTGAAGAAGCCTGTCGCGCCGAGCACGCAGCATCAGCTACAACCTCTACAGCCCTTATCGCAAAGGGCACCGCTAAGCCAAAGCGGAAATCAAAGTTCCAGAAGGGCGTCATGTGTCACAACTGTCAGAAAGAAGAACACATCAAGGCTGAATGCCAAGACCCAGACTTCCAATAACATCGGCCAGTCTAGCACATCGAACGCGCATGTGGTCAAACTCACGGACAAATCCGACTCGTACGCCTTCGCATCGCGTGAAAGTACACCCGCTTTTGTCGTCAAAGGCGAGACCTGGCTTGGGGACACCGCCACTGAGCATCATATCGTACGTGATCGCACAGCGTTCGTGACTTACATCGTGACACCAGGCAGCACCATCACAGGTGTTGGCGGCGCTTGTGCCGCATCGGACCGTGGTGATGTGTGCGTATTGTTCGCCACCAAGGCCGGGACCGTGCCTGTCACTTTGAAGGACGTCCTGCACGCGCCGTCTATTATACCCTCTAAACAGGGGTCCTTTCTGGGTTAGAGGATGCCTTATGGCATGCACAACTTGGAAATAAGAAAAGGTAATAAAGCTGGATGATAATAACACAGGAACATTAACACTGACATAATACCCGATTGTGCACAAGTGCACAATCGGGTGTAACATAAATTGGCTTGGGTGGTTACAGTACTTATACCCGATTGTGCACATTGGCACAATTGGGCATGAACTCTTTCTTCAGGCATTTATCTACATTGAATAGTTACAGTACTTATACCCGATTGTGCACAGTGGCACAATCGGGCATGAACTCTTTGCATGCTTGGGACATCTAATCCACATTGGGTAGGTACAGTACTTATACCTGATTGTGCACAGTGGCACAATCGGGCATGAGCTCTTTGCATGCTTGAGACATCTAATCTACATTGGGTAGGTACAGTGCTTATACCCGATTGTGCACAGTGGCACAATCGGGCATGAACTCTTTGCATGCT